AGCCCTGATCTGAACGCCATCTAACACTTGTTGGATGAGGTTCAAAGGCGTCTGCACAGGACGGCTGCTCAGGATGTGTGCAGGAGGATCCCTAGGGCCTTCACAAATCGTCTGATCCACTCAATGTACAGGAGATGTGTGGCAGTGATCAATGCTTATGGTGGTCACACCAGGTATTGACTGACATTTTGGGTATTGACCCGAAACTGTGTAAGCCCTTAACATTTGAAAAAAACAATATTGCATCTGCCTTTTAATCCATTAACTGTCCTCAGTCAAATTTTTGTCAATCTTGCCCTATTAGTATTTCTTGTCTTTACTGTTGAAAATAAATAACATGTATACTGCATGTTCGACTTGCGTTTCTTTTGCGTATGAGTATATAATGTCATTCTTAATTGCTATCGTCGAAAAAAATCCCTCTCACAAACAATACCTCAACATTGTATTTTTTACTGGATTGCGCGCATGAATATATTACAGTGGTTAGTCAACGGACAGTTGTGTTTCAGACAGTGATCGCCTTTCGCGGCAATCCATCGGTTCGCCCGCTAGAGTAATTCAAAATTTGACAATGTACTTTCTGTTTTACTCCCCTGAAGATCCGGGATAGGATAGGTCTTCAGCAACCCATGCTTGTTGTAAAATGCGTCTGTGCTTGTCGTATGAGGCGACTAACGGGATCGGGTGGTCAGGCTCGCTGACTTGGTTGATCCATGTCATCGTATCCCAGTACTGCTGGGATCGATGCTCATGATGTCAATCACTAGAGTGTCTGGTCTAGATTTGATTATTTACAGACCGCCGTCATATAGCTGGAATATTGCTGAGTGCGGCGTTAAACAACAATTATAGCTAAAATGGATAGAATTATCATTAAACCGCCCGCACGTTATCAGAAATGAGCGGGCCACTGTAATTTGATAATGCCCTCATATTGCTTGACGACGGACCATTATCAAGCCCGTTGTTAGGTGACGTCATAGGGTAGAGAAAATGACGTCACGTATTATAGTGACGTCATCTGGTTTGTTCTTTGACGTTTCCATATTTGTAAAATGTGGTCAGTGACATTCGTGTTGATTGCAGTAAATGTTTCAAAACCGATGTTGTTTCTTTTTACTTTATAACAAATTCCATCCATTTTAGCTATAAAAACGGTAACGCTCTTTTTCAGGGCATTATTTGCAGAAGCCCTCGGTCTTTTCAACTGCCTTCCTTCGTCGGGCAGTTAATGGAAGACCTAGGGCTTCTGCAAATGATAATGCCCTGAAAAATAGCGTTACCCTTATAATATACAAACAAACAAACCTGTTTTAATTTGAATCTTCCATAACTCGAAGGTTCCCTTCACTAGAGATGCAGAGTCCGCATCAGTCACACACTGACAGCGTCCGTGGTCAGCGTACAGTAACCCGCGGGGGCTTCTCTTACCCGTGCCACATGCCATAGCACACTCCAGCCTGCCGTTTACAGCTAAGTGCACCGCGCCTTTAAGTTGAACGTTGTCTCGAAGTTTCTCAAGGTGGGTTTGGTCAAACTTTGAAGCCACTGCACAAACTACACAGAGAGCTACAAATGTAGCGCTTTTCATTATCATCACTGTTTGGGGTTGTCCTACGAAGTTTCTCGACTGAGTTCATATGAAACCGAACGTAGTTTGGTGTTGTGCTGGCCGTTATTTGATATATACATGGAGCTATAAATAATGTACATGCGCATAATAAATAGCGCATGGAAACCAGTTAACAGGTGCGAGTGTCAAGTGTATTTCATATATTATTGATAATAATGTGTGTTTATTTGTGGGGAACAGTCATGGTATTAGAACTGGTTAATATTTCTCTATTTCAGAAAAATACTAAACATATAACAAAAGTCATAATAATGTACGAGCTAAGAAGAAAAACGGATTTTTGTCAAAAGTAAATTTAGTTTAAATACATTTTGTATGGTCCGAGCATTGCTGGGGACATTTAAACCGACTCTATAATTTCGAATTGAGCAGGCCAAGTTGTGTATTACCTTCTGTTATATATTGGTCTGTTAAACAAATTGTTGTCTTCCCTTTGACATAAATAACCATCACTAAAATGTGTCACGTCAAGACGCAATTGATGTATATTTCTCAGTCTGAAGTTCTTGGTCACTTTTTCAGCATAGGAATTTATGGTCAGAAAATAGTTTTATGGGAGATGGATGGAGGACGTTTCCTTGTTTGGCGCGTCATTGGCAGAATTGGTGTACGGTGCTGGTCCCTGTTTTGACTTCTGCCGTGTGTTCCCGTTTTTTTATAGGTGAAATGTTGACTTGCCTTTGCATGTGTTTGTGACGGGTGCCACCGGTGGGACAAGATACGTTCGCTTTAGTCACATAGACACATGCTCATGATATAGTCGGACACGTACTCTGGACTTTTATGGGTAACGGAAAATCAATGGTTATGTCGTTTTTATTTCACATTCCGCTTATGACATTTCTTTACTACGTGGCGTTTGAAGTTGATACTTTCAATACAGAAGCAGCCACATGTTCATTTTTCAGATTTTGGGATACCACAACTGTCTGCAACCGACGGGTTTCACCATGTAATGTAACAACATAGTGATGCTCACTGAAGTAATATCATATATAGACAGATAGATTTTATATATATACCAGATACGTTTGACGCTACAAACAAGAAACATCAGGTCACTACATATCATAAACATCTAGTGGAAAGTATATAACGCCTTGTTTAGTGTAAGAACGTGTTGTTAAAAGGAGTCTATATCGCAGGATCCCAGTTAGGTATAGATTCGTATGCGCGGAATTTGATTCCAGATATCTTTCGTCGATCTGTAAATAATCTAGTCTGGACCAAACAATCCAGTGATGGATGAGGATGAACATCGATTTGCGCAATTAGGATACGATGACATCCATCTACCAAGTCGACGACCCTCTTACGATATGCGAGGGGGCACGGGTGGCCAAGTCGTCTAAGGCGCCGCGATTCGCTGTGCAGAGTTGCGTCCCTTGGACACGCCAGAAACCTATGATTGTGGGTTCAAATCCCGGTTCGCCCCGATTATGTTTCTACGTTTCTCAGCACCATACCCGTGCTCGTGGGTTTCACCGAAGTGGTAAACGTCTGATACCCGCATCAATTCGGGCTTTCCTTCCACATTAAGCTGACACGCCGTGATATAACTGGAATACTGTTAAAAGCGGCGTTAAACCCAACTCACTCACTCACTCTTACGACCATCATAGTCGCCTCTTAAACCGCTTTGTGTGCGTGCGTGCGTGCATGTCTGTGTGTGCATGCGTGCGTGCGTGTGTGTTTGTGTAAGGTTTCCAAAAGGGGGCGCGTGACCAGCCCCTATTGCATAATGGCCGGAAATTACATTTGAACCCGATTTGGATGTGCAGAGGATATTTATACCCACATTTCAAGCAGTTCAAGGAGGTAAAGAGGTTTGTTTACTTCTTTCCATATGCGTAGTACCACTACCGCTATTTATTCGGCGCATCTCGCGTCTTACCGTATCTCGGTATGACACGAGTGTTCACGAAATAACGCGCATAGCGAAATTTGACCTACATTTCGTTATGAAATCCTCATAATCGTAAAATGTTTTCTAAAAGTTAAGACTTAGCGATAAAAAACAAATGGGGTTATATATATAGCGTGTTACTCGATAAGATTACCATGTGTGTGACAATGAAAGCGGCAAAACCCTTTCCATAAACATGGCAAATATCTGCCACCATCCAAGACGATTGTACGATTCCGACTACATATATATCATGAACATGTCTTTATGAATCACTATCAAATAGTGAAGATACCAGTTGGTCCTGAAAAGGTGAGCGTATCCTGCCCCATCGATGACACCCGTCACAAACACATGCAAAGGCAAGTCAACTGTTCACCTGAAAGAAACACGGGAACACATGGCACGAGTCAAAACACGGAACCGCACCGGACACCATTTGTGCCAATGGCGTCCTCCACACGTCAAACATAACACTATTTTGTCTGACCATATATTCTTATACTGAGCTAGAATTTCAGACTGAGAAGTATACATCAATTGTGTCATGAAGTGACACATTTTAGAGATGTTTGTTATGTCAAAGGGAGGACAACAATTTGTTCAGGAGACCATGGGTAACACAATACTTGACCTGCACAGTTCGGAATACAGTAAACTACGGTTATAACGAACTTAAAGGGACCACTAATTTTAGTTCGTTATAACCGCAGTTTGTTATATGCATATATACAGGATATATAGAGCAAGTGGCCAGGATCAAAAATAAGTTCGTTATATCTGTAAGTTCGTTATAAGCGTGTTCGTTATAAACGTAGTTTACTGTATATTGATTGTCGGTTTAAATGTCCCCAGCAATGCTTGAACCATACAACATGTATTTAAACTCAAGTTACTTTTCATAAAAATTCTTTGCTTGAACAGTATTTTTTAGTTGTTTTTTTCTAAACAGAGAAATATTAACCAAGTTTATTACCATGACTGTTCCTCACATATAAACACACATTATAATCAATAATTAATTAAATATACTTTGACACTCACACCTATCAACAAAAATAAATAAGGGAACAAGAACTGTCTACTATCAGTTATAAACTCCCGGGGGCAAAAAAGTATACACTTGAAAAATTGATTTGACCAAAAATAAGTTAGAAAACGGCCCCCGAAACACTGCAAACTTAAAGTCTAAAACATAACTATGATACCCGTATCAAATACATCACCATCCTTGTTGGTTTCATTGTAGCCGCTGTCAAACATGGGTGTAATCTTTACTTTTCCCGGGAGTGTATACGAGATATTACTAACATCTTAGCATGCGTGGTGTCAAGTGGATTACACACCCATGTGATAGAGATCGTTAGTGATCGTGATTGATTGATGGCGCCTCCAGCACCTCCTTGTCACGTGATCAGGAAGTACCAATGCACCTGTAAAGACTTCCGACCTGCCCGACGTCGTCATTACTTGGTCAGGCCTCATCGTTGACACATAAGTAAACGCCCGTCAGAGGAGCCACGGAGTAGAGAACGGAGGATAGACAGAATACCCAAGATAAAGAACCACCATTCAAAGGAGCTTTATAACATAGGATGGAAATGTTACCCCTACTGGCGTGTGTGCTCCATGCAACGTTGATCGCAGCATACCCCAGCGGTGCCCCCAACAGGGCGTGTCCTGGGCTTCTCCCCTTTCACAGAGGTACAGCCCCTCAAGTGACCAACGCCCCCTACAGGATAGGTGTCAGTAGTCTACAGTATACCCCCAATATGCCCATCACTGGTAAGTCAATTGTAGTTTATCTCACTTTTAAATGTCATTCAAGAACATTTTTTATATTTTGCATTTCAAGAATGTCACCAAGTCCATAATTTGATTACATTAATTTTCTTTAAAGGATTAGGAGTTTTGTAAGTCAGTTTTTGTTGTTCATCAAATGTAAAACTAAATTACCTTTGACAAAATGTATGAACATTCTATTCTGACGTTAAACAGAAGATAATCTACATAATCAGTGTGTTGGTGAGTTTAATATTAAATATTTCCAAGAAGATATTTCATCATTAATTATTCATATTTTTACTTAACTGGTTCTTTGGAGGATCTTTTACGTCTTCTATCACCCCCTCGGGGCTTTCAGTCACTTGTTACATAACATCTTTGACAGCACTGAAAAGATAAACCCGCCGGTTTTTCCAAGGTGTCAGGTGAGAGGATATGGCGCTGTAGTGCGCCTCCAGCTGTTGGTACGTGGCTGCTGGGGGCGACATGAAATGACTCGACATCACTTCATGCTTATTAGGTATCCTCGGTTTGTTAATCCGGAAGATTCCGGGTTAGAATTCAGCACCTCATGCTTGTCGTAAGAGGCAACTAACGGGGTCGGGCGGTCAGGCTCGCAGACTTGGTTGATTTTCATGTCATTTATCCCAAATGCGTGGATGGATGCTCTCGATCTCAATCTCTAGATTGCCTGGTCCAAACCCGATTATTTACAAACCACCATCATATAGCTGGCATATTGCTGAGTGCGATGTTTAAAGGACATGACGTCAATAGTGACGTCATAATGCATATCATTGAAAATTATAACATCATTAAAAAGTATGCATTACGTCATCAATGCTGCAGTGTTTATGACATTATTATTCCATGTGTCCTCGATATGCATGTTTTGTTAAGTTATATATCGTATGTAGGATAAACAGAGAATCTCCTAGACATATGTTATATTTAATACAAAAAATACACGAAATAGTTAATTATGTGATCATTTTTTCACATCTAAATCTATTTTTCTGACAATTTCGAATCCCTACAGAGTACTGCCACTATAGAGGCTTTGGGGTAGGCTTGTGGTTCAAGCGTTTGTTTGTAACTCCGAAGACCCGGGTTCGATTCCGGTGTAATGTTTAAATGCTATTCTTGGATTCTCCCTCCGTGACATGGGTGGAACAATGATGAAAACGATGTAAGACTCAATACTATCACGAATCTGAAAAATACTCGATTATGTTCAGTCAATCAGGGGGTTCAAATCACAATAACAACTTCTGATTGAAACATCTGATTTGACTCTCAAATCACCATGGAACTTAATACATATATCTAAAGGTGGAAACGTTATACTCAATTATGGTCGGTAGGCACATTTAAATCTCCCGTAGAAACCCGGAAAGGAATACGTCATGATCACTTTATTAGGTGTCGTGAGAGCCGACGAAATGGAACGAGTAGGTACGCATTGTTTCGTGTCTTCGTACCCGGACAGAGTGGGACGTTGCTTACAACAGTAAACATTTATATCACGGCGTGACAGCTTAATGTGGGAGGAAAGCCCGAAGTGATACAGGTCTCAGACGTTTACCACTTCGGTGAAACCCACGAGCACGGGTATTGTGCTGACAAACCTAGAATCACAATCGGTAGTGTAATGTAGTGACGTCAATACATCACAAGGGTTTAAATATTCCACCAACAGTATCCATTACGCCATCAGTGCTGTAGTGTTTGTGAAATTAGCATTACATGTGTAGTTTATCGGCATGGTTAGTCAACTGGATTAGGGTCACACCCGATAATTTACAGTAGCTGTGATTTTGATGGAATGTCGCCGACTGCGACGTTAAACAACATGCACTCACTCCTGTAAACAGGTAAAATCGTTCTAGAATTGACCACAAAGACATACTCTCTACTTCATTCAAGCATTGTCTTTATTTGATATTGCGAATTTAGTTTTTTTCTACTGCACAAATAGTGAGAAACAAACCAATATTTTGTGGTCTGACCAACGACCTCCTGTGTCGTATTCGGGCGACAAAAAACGCCTACAGCTAGTATGCGTGATTCATGCGCATTGACGTCTTCACGAATCACTTAAACGACATGGTCCGACATTGCTCAGATTCACCTGTCCACACAGATATTTGGGAAGTGATGAGTAGCAGTCCATACTCCGTGACAAAAACATGATGGCAAATATAATCTGTGTGAGGTGGTGCGTGGTTGATGAACATATAAAATAGCTGTCAGCTGGATGATTGAGCGACGCCCGCAAGAGATCAGATCAACATCCACTATTGGATTTTAAAAAATATCAATTCTAACGAAAACCTTAATTTTAACAGTGTTTGGTCCTATACCTCGCAGTCTTATTAAAATCAGATCTTCATGTTCGCTTCCGATACACAAAAAACACTTGTATCGAGGAAGCGAGCAATAAGATCTGATGTAAATGAGACTGTATGATTCGTTAATCCGAAACATTTGCAGCGCGGATGATTGGCAACGATAGTGTCTGGATAAATGGGGTTTCACAATTGTTTGATAGGCATTGCTTAGAATTAAGTTGACGGATGACAAAAGAGACACAGTTTATAGATAACAACTTCTTTAATGCTGTAAAGGCGACGTTTCGGTATAGATCCTTATACCGTTGTCAAGCAAGACTGAATGAGGAACATTGTACAGAACATATATAGTTAGGTGGAGGATTAACAGTAGAGGAATAACAGTAAAAACAATAGCATGCATGAGTGGGATAACATGAGAAGGTAATAACAAAGAAGGATAATACTGTGACAACATGATGGACAGGGAACACACAGGTGGAAGCCAATGGGGCATGAAGCCAATAAACCAGGATAAGTTTATATAGGTGTGGCAATTATTGCTTAATGAGTTCATAGTAGGCGGATGGGATCAAAATGGGGTTTCAGTGTGTGGAGTCTCGTTTCAAGGTAAAACTGCGACGACCAGAGCGATTGTTTATTGACTTGATATGTATATCCCTTGAAAAGTTGACTTTGTAGAAGAGATTATACCCTCTTACAATGTGCGTGTATATCTGTTCCAGTTACCATCCACGCCGACGACCAGTCGCTGCCGTTCATGGCGTTCCTGTTGCAGGCGCGAGTGAAGGGAAACAACAGCACGTCTGTGGGTCAGTTCTCCCAGCCCCCTGTATCAACCAAGCTCCTCACTTGCTTCTCATCCGGCGACTCCATCACGCATTCCTCTGCGCAGCCGCGGGTCATGCTGCAGATGACGTGGATGCCCCCGACTAGAGACATGGGGCAAATTGAAATACTGTGAGTTTTGATTTCGTTTTGGCTTGTTTTTGTTTTTTGGGGTTTTTCATAAATTATTTATATCTCTTTACTGTTACCAACATTTACTATCTGAGGATTTGATACCTTTCTACGTGAAACCCTAACCTAGGAGGTCGCATCTTGTGAACTTTCTTATCAGCCAAAAGAGCCTTCTGATGTATCTCGAAAATGAACTTAGACGACATGTTCCGAATTTATTAATAAAGGCCGAGCCATTCTAACGTTGTGGATATTTTATACACCATGTCGTTTCTGAGCGACCTGGCATCTACGCCGAAAAGAGAGCACATTCGAAGAAGTATTTGTGTTGTGCGTGGGTTTTCTTTTGTGAAAAAAAATATTTCCTAATCGAACTGATAAACAAATGATGCCAGGTTGCCATTGACTTCCTATGGGTTATCAGATCTTTAAGCAGAGAGACCGTATCAAAATACAGTATCTGATCTTAATGAGATTGCGAGAAGGTTAAAAATGGTATTTCTTCATTGAGAGGGGGAGTATGGCTAGAGTCAACTCAGAGAGAAGTGTTTCGGGAAAATCATACGGTAGGGTCATGGGAATTAACCTTACACATTTTAATTTAACAGACATGTTTTTAACCATTTCGTCATAAAACAAATTGAAATACCCCCACCTTAAACATATGTGTCACGTGTCTGTGATTTTCCTTTATCCATTCAGCGGCACTGTAGCCCAGAGCAAGCAGATATACTTTGGCGTGCTTTCATCCGGGGCCCTCTCGTTCTCAGGCTCTTCCTCGCCACCAGCAGGTACATCCGCACCCAACCCTGAAGGTGAGCTACACCGCCTGTACTGGGGTTTTGTCTACCAAATAGACGCATGTGCCCAGTGCTTATTGCATACCTGGAAGACAGTCATTGCTATCCAGTCTAAATGTTTAAATATATGTAAATAATGGTCTACGTTTTAGACAAGAGTTTGTCTTGTGGTGGATACATCTTGATGTCAAGCAAACCGACCTCTTAATAAGCTGCTAATGTCGCCCTGATGCCATACGTCAGGCGTACTTATTTGAATGTGGATGGCACTGGGTGATTTTCACAGTACCTATGGAATTTGTTGTCGACGTTAAATTGGCCATCCATATTTTTTATGTTTCTCATCTCCAACCTCAACTTGCAAGGGAGCGGGCAGACGAAAAATATTTTGTTCAAAATATATATAAATATACAAAACTGTTTTAAAGTTTAAAACACTTGGTACAAGTCTTTAAATTAATTTATGACGTAGATCGAGTCGCTTTGCAACGGTAGTAATAAAACTGTTATCACATCGGGGCATAATCTTCCACAGCGGCGGGGATACGAAAACCTTTTTTTAAGTCGGAATAAAAATTCATGGCGGTAGGAAGATGGGAAACTCAGAAAGAAATACAGACATACATATATTACGCATCACATGTGTCCAATAGTGACACACTCCTGCAAGCGGAGTTTTCGGGAGTTTGCGGCGAAAAGAAACAAATCTCCGCATATGTCTACTTCTTTCATATAATTCAATGATGAACACTTCATCTAGAAATGAAAACCTATAGGGGATCACAATTTAAGACATTTCTAGATACAGTTGGGAAACTATTGTGGAAGTACATCGTTGGTGCAATGGACATTGATGTATGTGAATACGGGACGGGGAAAGGGTTGGGCTGGCGAAAAGGTAGATATCGAAGTCTCATGCAGAATGCCTAATAACACAAAACATGTGTTATATTTATTTATGCAACTAGGGTGTGTTATGGCCATTGTTTCAGTTGGTTGTTTTTTATAACTATCCTGTATGTGCAAGGGCCGAGGTTGGAAGATTCGATTTAAAAATACTCAAAGATTTTGTAAAGCGAATCCTACTTAGCAATGATTTATTCAAGATAATGGTACGTCAAAGCTTTCGAGTATGTCACGTTAACTGCTTCCGCATATGTCTTCTCGAAAACACGTCTGAGGTGATCATGTCGTTCATTTTTAGAGCTGTTAATTATATACGTGACCCATAATAATAATAATAATAAAAATTATTATTATTATTATTATTATTATGATAATGGGAGAAGTCCCATTCGCTGTCTGGGATGCGTGTAGAGTGGGCAAGGCCCCTGAGCTGATGATGAGCCTAACCAGCCTGACTGTGCCAGGATCACCCAAGCCCTCTTTGCTGCATTTTTTTTATTTTGATCTGTACAAAATAATAATAATAATAATAATAATAATAATAATAAAGTTTATTCTCCAAACCACCCACGGCGGTACATGAGTATATATATACGATGAGATGCACTGGTGTACAGAAGCACATATGTAAAGAAATTCACAAAATAATTACACGTCACGGAGTGTTCTCCTAAATGTTTCAGCTTTATCTTCAGGAAGAAGTCAAACATATAGATTATACACTATTATTCATAACAGGATTGCAGATGTATTCAAAATGTTCTATTTGATTTTTTCAATTTTATTTACCAGCTGTACAATAAATCTGGCCAAACTGTAACGTTACATAACATGACATAAGTTAAGTAATTTACACATTTTTAACACGTTTGGCCAGATGATAAATGTATCAGGAATTAAGTCAATTCTTTCCTGGAGAAGGGCTTCATATCTAAAGAGATAATGAAACTCGTCTCCAACGGCAGTAAAGTTACATAATTAATCATATCAAAACGTTACTAGGCAGACCTGTTGTAAGATACTCATTGATATGAGGCACGCAATATCGCCTATGATACCCGTACTAAATACCTCACCATCGAATACAAGGAACCATTTCTTGTTTGTTTCATTGTCAGCCACCTTCAAACATGGGTGTACTTTGCTTTGTCCGGCCGAGTATTCTTCCATGTTCGTTAGCTGTATCTACAAACAGCGTAGTAAAACCTCTCTGTCCGTCTTCTGTATTACAGGCACAGCGGAGGGGGCAGGCATGGGCGGGGCGGCGACGTCACCGTACACGACGGTGGTGACAACTCTGCTTTCTGCAGCACTGATGACATCATGTACCCTGTTGATGAGGTAGTAGTCACAGCGAAGCAGAGACTGTGGACAAACTAGCCAGAGGATCAACCGAGATGGAACATGGAAGAACGGATGTCCCCTTGCCCGAGGCATCGATTGGCTGGAAAACATGACATTTGCATAATATGCAAATTTGTGATATTTCTTGGTTCCGATCGGATTTTTGACATGTCTACAGTTACACGTCATTCCTTTCCATGTGTAATTTATTGCATATGTACATTTCACTGTATGTTTTCGTTATATTTGTTGTATATTTGCCTATTAAACTCAATATTGTAAGTGATTTCATGTTTCCGTCGTTTCCGTCACGAAACCCAGGAAAGGAACTGTTTAATCAGGTCTTTTAGTGTATAGAAAACCGTGTTGATTGCTTTCAGATATAAAATCAACATCAAGCTTATCAAAACTGTCAGATATTTTGAAAATCTACCGCAACCATCTCCATTTGATCATCCTCGATTACCCAGGGAATTATATTTCCAAACATATTACCCGGATTCATTCGCAAAAAATGTTCCATCTTGAATTGGACGTCATGGTTTCTTAATATTTTGTAACTAACTTAGCACGGAATTCTATCGCTCGTGACAGTACACTACTGCCTTGAAGTCCATTCCCCTCACTCGCATGGGCAACGCGTGACGCAACCCGTGTGAACCCCGTTGGTCACTCGGGTGCAACCCGTGACAGTCATTTCGAAGGGAACAAACTTTTGACCAAAGGAGGCCCCATGTTAAGTTGAAAATGGGGGTTGTAACAAGGAAAACATTTTTTTAAGTCCTGGTGAAAATGAAACACAGTATGACACGTACATTGTACTTGCTGATGTCTCTAGATGTGATTTTGTAGTGAGGTGAAATGGGGTTTAACATCGCGTCCAAGATTATTGCACTCATATAGCGACGTGCATGTACAAGTGTGTGTGTTTGTGTGGCTGCTTGTACTAGTCCGGACGGATGTCGATTATAGTGCTAGCTCACTGAGATACCATGCCGCAGTTTAACATGAATACCCCACTCAGACACAGTATACTGACTCCGAGCCGACCAGTCCTTGTTTTAGCCCCTTAATGCTGAGCGCCAGACAGGGTAACAACAAGTACCATCTTTTAACGTCGTTTGGTATGACGCGGCCGGGGGTCAAACCCCAGACCATCCGTTCTCCGGGCGGACGCTCTACCACTAGGCCACGGAGGCGGTCCTGTGATTTTGTAGGAACATGTGATCAATCAGATCCATCTTATTTATACGACCATTGGCTTCTGCATGGCGTTTTTCAATGGTTTGAAGAGAATACATGATCCTGGAAAATATTATTGTCATTGAAAAGTTTGTGTGATTTGACATTAAACGTCTGTAGTATGACTTCCAGAGTTTACATTTAGGGGGTTTGGCTGGGCTTTGTTTTTATTGCACGCTGATTACTTTATGATGATTTGGATGTCTTTGTCTCAGTTCCATAGCCGTGAAGCTGGAAAAGAGCAGCATTAAATATAACATCTCAATATAACAACTTTACACAAAGCTTTCCTTTCATACCCACCGCGACATACTGTATTGTTTCATTATAAAGTATGTAGATGTTTTCTTATTTTTCCTGGTATTTCTTGCACTTGGACGTTTCATTAGTTGGACAAAACACGCCTCCTCGGGTTTGGTTGAAACTGAAAAAAGTCCGGGAAAAAGCCCTCTGGTTTTACAGTTTCAACCAAACCGAGGAGGCGGGTACAAACCTTCAGATTACGGATTGAACATCATAAATGTGTGTCAGGTTCCTAGATGTTTAATCATCATTCTCTGCATAATTTGTTTCCTCTACTAGCGCTACACAACATTTCAACATTTTCAAAATATATGAATATTTACACATAAAACACATAAATGATTTCAACACCTTTTAACACGGAAACATTTAGATTCAAACAATATTAGCATATCACACTTAGAATTAAAAGCAATTTAATAATATAATCAAAGGTACAGAATGGTATTTGCAAAAAATACCTCTCGATTCTTGTTAATATTCAAGACCTCTATTTCAGTTCTGTTGTTTTAGCACTATATACACTGACATTAATCAGTCTTAGAACGTCATTCTATTGTTCCAATCGTCTATCATTTCTGACGAACAATTTTAGCCAAACACATGGGGTATATATCAACATGAACTCGTTCACCGTGTGCAGCAAATCTTGTACCCACACATCTCGAACTGCACCTTAAACCGACTCCTTCATTTCGACACAAATGTAGTTGGTTGTATTTGCGCGTTGGCTCTACTTCGTCAGCGTTGGATTAGTTACAAATGTATGTCAAAAGAAGCCACCCCGTTCTTTCTCTATGACGTAAATGCCGATACGATCCCACGCAAAGATTTTATTATTTCATTATATTGTTTTTTATTTGTTACTCCATGAAATGAAATTACTTTTTTTTTAATTCATTTCCTTTGTCTTTCACAATGTAAGTTTCTATCGTAATGATGATGTTTTACCATGTCCCAATGACTTTATTTTGTTAGGTAGAAATCGATCTAGGAGATATGTGAAAGCAAACAGAGGGTCGGGCGGAGTGGGTATTTTCGTCAAAAAGGAGCCCCTGAAATTATTTGACGTTACTGTTCTCGAGAAGTCGGTAGAAGATATTTTGTGGCTTAAGTTCTCATCACGGTCCAGTGAGAGCACATTCTGCGTATGTGTGTACTATTTATTTCATAGATACCGCACACAGACACAGTATACCGACTCCGAGCCGACCCGTCCTTGTTTTAGCCCCTCAATACCGAGTGCCAGACAGGGTAACAACAAGTACCATCATTTAACGTATTTTGGTATGACGCGGCCGGGAAACAAACCCCGGACCTTCTGCTCTGAGGGCAGAACCTCTATCCACAAGACCTCAGAGGCGGTCAAGTCCAAGAATGCTCAACAAGAGACATTTGAAGGTCATGTACAGTTTATTATGCAAATATATACATGTGTCTTTCGGTCTTTCGGGAGGTAATTTCTACATTACCTAATTTACGGATTTTTGGTTTCAAAACAATAAATTGACTCGATACGGAATAGAACTAAAATGTCAAATAATATTTTTTTGTGATGTCAGGTTAAGTAAACAAAATATATGGAAGATAAAGGATACTAATGGCAGTCTGTTTTACCAATAGTAAATTTTAGTATATTTACCTACTAAGAGGATCCGTAAACCAAGTCATGAAACCCCAAGTTAGAAAATATGAAAGAAAATTATAAGTAATGAATGAAGTGATTATTGAAAAAATGTGAAGAAAATGTGAGATGGACACTCACTCGTGTGGAGACTCGCAACATGGTCGCTCCTAATATTTAACCCAAAAGTGGACGTCGCTCCCAAGATATTCCCATTAAACTCAGGTCAATGATAGCTGTCGGCATGAAGATCTAAGGACACTTGATGGGAGGTCGTGCCAGGTGAACTTTCTAACAAGCCAGGTGAACTTTGCAATAAGCCAATCAGCGTGGAGGCTTCAAATTCCCGGTACCGTGAGTGACCGAAGCATTCAAGCAAGCCTATCGGACCTCTGTATCTCGAACATGTAACAAAACGCCTTTGTAGGCATTGTAAGAAAACGACAAATTCCGAATGCAGATCATTAACGCCGCGCCCTCATATTGTCGTGGATATCTGTCTGTGTGGCATGACATCTATACTCAAAAAGGAATAGGTGTTTTGTGTGGGTTTTCATTGAAGTCGAAATTTCCCACGTATCCTTCATTTAGACTGGACGGTCAAAGTTCTCTCGGGGTTCAACTGACATGACCTGCTATGGGGGTGTCCTCGGATCTTAACGTTGGTTGGTTGGTTGGTTGTTTTACGCCGCACTCAGCAATATTCCAGCTATATGACGGCAGTCTGTAAATAATCGAGTCTGGACCTGACAATCAAGTGATTGATATCATAAGCATCGATCCACGCAATTGGGATCGATGACATGCATCAACCAAGTCAGCGAGCCTGACCACCCGATCCCGTTAGTCGCCTCTTACGACACGCATAGTCGCCTTTTACGGCACGCATGGGTTGCTGAAGACCTGTTCTACCCCGGATCTTCGGCTCTTAACGCAGAGGTCTGTGTCGGAGTAAAAGTTCACATTTTAATGAGCCTGCTTCCAATATACATTGACGTTCGGGTGTCACTCGGATGGTATACATTCCATGGCTCATAGCGTTCCACGCACCAAGGGTTACACCTGTACACATACACTATGGGATGAAAGATGGAGGTAGACATCTGCCACAGCGGAATCAGCATTACTCCAATTGCTCTGTAAATCCCCAGGTCAAAATAAATGTTTTTTACGCCGCTTTGAGTCTGCAGACGTAACGTTTCGAGTTTTGGCCTGACAAACCAGTCACTGATATTATGAGCAAAGTCTATTGGCGCCGGGATGCGATACCCAAATAAACCAAGTCTGCGAGTCTGAACATCGGATCCAGCAGAACAATCATAGGTTTATATCATATCTATACCCACTTGGAATCCACAGGTATGGTCGTATGGTACCAGTGAGTGATGGTGGTGCGGAATGTTATCTGGAAGCGCTAGGAAAATCCCCAACAGTGACCAGTATCAAGGCCTGGGAGTACATATGCACCCTGTACACATGGTTGTGGTATGCATGTGGGGAAGGCTACACCTGTTCTCTGTCAGAACACTGTGGTCGGGTCTTGCTGGTAGGCTCTGTAGTCCGTCATCATGAAGTAGGACAGCTCAGTCTCATTCTCTGAAAGATGATGCTCATGATGTATATCACTGGATTGTATGGTCCAGACCCGATTATTAACAGACCGCATTCATATAGTTTGTTTGTTTGTTGTTTAACGCCGCACTCAGCAATATTCCAGCTATATGACGGCGGTCTGTAAAATAATCGAGTCTGGACCAGACAATCCAGTGATTGATATCATGAACATCGATCCACGCAATTGGGATCGATTACATGTATCAAGCAAGTCAGCGAGCCTGACCACCCGATCCCGTTAGTCGCCTTTTACGACAAGCATAGTCGCCTTTTACGGCAAGTATGGGTTCTGAAGACCTATTCTACCCTGGATCTTCACAGGTCGCATTCATATAGCTGGAATATTGCTGAGTGGGAGTTAAACACCAAGCAAACAAACAAACTCGGAAAGATCAAGTCATGCCTGATCACAATATTGATGACTGGAATGAGTAACGTAACGTTGTTTGAGTCCAGATCTCAAAAGTTTAAGTGTTATTTTTTTATCTTTTTAAACTTTTCAACTTCGATCAAATTTAAAGTATGGGCATTTCCGTTCAACACAGATACATGACATCAGGGCTTTGTTGCCTCCACGTCTGCAGACTCACCTACTCCACAGTCTGACAGGGTCTTCTCGGGGAGGAGAATCAGCTCTGCGTCCTTGTTCCTATTGATGATGGGATCTGCCGTCTAGACAGAGAGTAACACCAACATTTAAGGACCTATTCTTTGACACTTGTCAGCGGTTATTCTCGGGCTATATGGGAGCCAGCACGATGAACTTTTGCTCTGTTTGTTTGTTTGTTTGCTGTTTAACGCCGAACTCAGCAATATTCCAGCTATATGACGGCGGATTATAAATAATCGAATCTGGACCAGACAATCCAGTGATAGACATAATGAGCAGCGATCCACGCAATTGGGATCTGAAGACATGCATCAACCAAGTCAGCAAGCCTGATTACGCGATCCCGTCGCCTCGTATGACAGCATAGTCACCTTTTATGGCAAGCATGGGTTGCTGAAGATCTATTCTACCCTGGATCTTCACTGGTTGCTTTTGCTCTGGCTTGTTTGAAAACAAACCTTTTTTATTTTTGTACACATTTTCAACACATTTTCAACATTCATTTAACAATTGAATTTGTTGTAAAACCTGAGACACCATTACGTTTTTCCAGTGTTTTCAGGACACCGTCTTGTAGTTGCATGTAGATAAACACATAAGCATATGAAATAAAGGAAACATATAAGACTTAACGATCGCCATTGTGGTCTAGTGGATAGAATGTTGCCCGAAAAGCGGAAGGTCGGTGGTTCGATCCCTGGCAGCCTACTCCAAAAGACGTTAAATACAAGGCCTGGTCGGCTCGTAATTGGCATACTGCGGTTGAGTGCCGTACCCAAGTTAAACTGTGGGTTAGCAGCCACGCACACGCACACGCACGCACACGCACGCACGCACACACACATGTGCATACACGTCGCTACACAGGTGCAATAATCTTGAACGCAACGGTAAACCCCTCACATATCAGACATATTTGAGGCTCTTTCTTCTATTTGTTCATTGTCGTGCGTCAAAGACCTGGTTGCTACTGAAAGAACCAGACATAATTTGTCTTTGCCCGAATGATAATCACAAAAAAACGACTAACCTTCGCACCGTAGGCTTTATGGGAGATCTTCAACGTGTCTGAAATAGATTCCATCATGAAAAAATCATTATCCCTTGTTCCACGTTTGAGATACCCTTTCTGGAATCAGCGACCATACATATTTAATGGTCTCTGTTGGAATCTACATGTAGAGTACCTTAGTGAGTACATGTTAGTGAGTGAGTGAGTGAGTTGGTTTAACGCCGCTTTTAACAGTATTCCAGTTATATCACGACGTGTCAGCTTAATGTGGGAGGAAAGCCCGAAGTGATGCAGGTCTCAGACGTTTACCACTTCGGTGAAACCCATGAGCACGGGTATGGTGCTGACAAACCTAGAAACATAATCGGGGCGAACCGGGATTCGAACCCACAATCATAGGTTTCTGGCGTGCCCAAGGGACGCAACTCTGCACAGCGAATCGCGGCGCCTTAGACGACTGGGCCACCCCTGCTCCTTGAGTACATGTTAACGTTACATTTAGCAATATTCCAACAATATCAGGGTGGGGGACACCAGAAATGGGCTTCACACATTGTACCCATAAAGACCTATGTGCACTTAAATGTTGATTTGATGTTGAACAGAACATATATACATATATAGTGTATACAGCATACATTCGCATATTTCCATACATATTCATAACTTGTTTCATATTTCCATTAATGAATAATAATATATTTACAGTTGGAAAAAGGTGCGTGTTTGGCTTAGAATATCCTTCACTTTAGCAAATATGAAAGCTATAAGGAGATTGGGTGGATTCGGAAATACGTTTAAGTCAACCATGCACCCTAGACATAGATAAGGGGGCGCTTACCGTAAGTGAATTTCTTAAACGGAGGCGGCAAACCCTGCCTTGTAGGAATATCTGAAAGATTGCGGATTCTGCATTTAGAATAGTTGTTATCATACACAATTTAAAGGTACACAAATCAATGGTAATAATACGACAAGGTTACGATATGTTTAAGATTGTCCATGAGGCGAGTCACAGCGACTATAACGGGATCGGGTGGTCAGGCTCGCTGACTTGGGGGGTACATGTCATGATTGTTATCGTATCCCAATTACGTGGATCGATGCTCATGATGTCAATCAGTGGATTGTCCGGTCCAGACTCGATTAATTACAGACCGCCGTCATTTAGCTGTGTTATTGCAGAGTGCGGCGTTAAATAACAAACAAAAACAACATTTCTAACAAACACACACACACACACACACACACACACACACACGTGTTGGGACGGAAAAGAATAATATATATATTTATATATGGTTCAGCACGGACCTATACAACCGGTGGGTTCAGGGACCGTGAGACATACTAAATTATTGTATTGTAAGGTCATTTTTTAGCATGTTTAGTACAAGTCAAGGCCTATTATCCAAATAAGAACGACAGACTGATCTATATTTTCTCGATGTAACGCACAAAACGGTATATGACCATGCGTCGCAGTATCCATACCTTTATCTATCATCTGGCGGAAGTCAGCCACGGTTTGACCTAATTTCACATTATGGTAAACTAAATGTTTTATATTTCGATGAGTAAAAGACCTAACAAGTCGCACTGTTATCGTCACGTTAGTGGTTTCTTCCGCCATCGACACCGTATACCGGACCTCTGTATAACGCGAAGGAATTGACTGTAGTTTCATAACGACTACTATCAGCTTCGTATAACGTCATGCGACCTTCTCCGATCAAATATCTGTTTGAAGTTGTTCGATGGCCGAGCAGAGCAGATAACTGTCTTTTTCATCCGATTTAAGTTCGAATCCGAAAATGTAAGAAAAATGTTAAGCTCCTTTTTATCTCACGTGATAAAAACATTGCTACTTTGACATAATTTGTTTTGAACATGCTATCGGTGCTCGCTATGTATGAACGCATGAACACATTATTCGATTAGTGTAATCTTTAAGAAAAAATAAATAATTACAAGTAATTGTATTAAAAAAAACTGAATATAGTATTGCAGAAACATTGATTGTGCACTACACTAAGGTTATGATGTGTCCAGTAACAATTCTCATTATAGTATAGCTCTTCTAAACTGTCACAAAACGACATAGAGGATATTATATTCGTGTTCATGTCATACCATGTTTACTGCACGAGTGTCAAAAACATAGTATGACATGAACACGAATATAATGTTCTATTTATTATCGAAGAAGGTGTCTACATACAGAGCCGAATTTAGAAAAAAAATGCACTGATCGCCACCGCTGTCTTAGAAAACCACAATTTGTCGAATGACGTAAACAATCTTCAGCTATGACGTTGTTTCTTGTGTGACGTCATTCCGACCTCACGTCACAATAAGATTCGAATGACGTCAACAACGCCGCCCGGATGACGGAACCGATACACTTGTCTCGTGACGTGACATGGCCCTAGTATATGTATAGGGCACATACAACTTTTATTAACCCCGATATGTTTGCCCTCGTAGGTAATAAATAGAGAATGTCACCCGAGTGTCTTTTGATATTAAATATATCAACACGAGTTGATAAAAGTGGAAAAACTCTTAGGCTTTCCGAGGATAATTTTGATGTCTCCATAACTTATTTCCTCAATTTACCGGAAACTTGATTGGTAACCTGTGTTATAACCTCTCCAGACTACGGAACTAAAAGTATCTTAGATTTTTATCTTTGAAAATCAATAAATTTGCTTTTTACGGCACAAGAGAGAGAGAGAGAGAGAGAGGGAGAGAGAGAGAGAGAGAGAGAGAGAGAGAGAGAGAGAGAGAGATTGTTCTCCAAAACATCCAGCACCACCCCTTGCGAACCGCCCATTTCCCAATTAAAAAGGTTTATAAGCAATTCACACCACGTATGTTCACATTTAGATATACTCGTTTGTTTGTCATTTTAAACGTTGTTTACTTTAAAAATAAAATTGAAATTGAGCATACTTGAATATTTTTTTAATATATTTAGTACTAACGTATAGATACTAATTTGAAAGTCCAAAACAGACAGTCTCATTTTATAACTCACAGTAATAAATATCTATTTATAGGATAAATATTTAGAATATTATGTTTTTGGTTTGGAATAAATTAAAATACATGGTAAATGATAAGATATCGTTTATTTTCTCGATATTAACGCCCTTCTACGAACGGTGTCGTTTTAGCCTGGCAAATTTGGTGACGTTTGGATAGGCGCCGTTTTAGCGTAAACAATTGGCGGAGAAATCAACATATATGGTGTACAGAATGCGATAATACATTGAACAATTTGTTTTCATTACCGTTGAAGCGATATATATCTCAGGCACTCGTATATAAGTGAAATAGTCTTTAGGAGAGCAATATATGTGGCAATCTTATCCAAGGGACATAACTCTGTTTTTGCTTCTGAAGCATATTGCACCACGGAAACAGTTATTGAGTAGGAAAACAAAGTATTTAAGAGCACAATATTCACGACGAACCAAACAATTTTGAAAGTCGCACCGACACCACATCTTTGAAGCATTGCTAGAAAGTCGAGTGTCGCATTTAATTGGTGAGAAGGCTGACTATGTCCTGAACGTTTGTGTTGTCATTTGGTCAATTTGGGCACACTAGGAAGAGGCCGGGTACCTGTGACAGACCCACAGTTACCGGCTATGTTGGCGCCGTTTGTTTGATTGAGTACTATGTATTTGCTGACAGTGAAAGCCTCTTATGAACAATACCATGTTTTCTTACAGACTTAATGTTAACCTCAAAACCAGAAATTAAATGTCAAAATGTTCTTCAGCATGCGATGAGTGACACCCTCATCTCAGAATAATCCTGACGCCGAAATTGAACTGGTGTGAACTGTGAAACGGCAGTCTGGTAAAATTCCTGTTGGTCTTGTTACCAATCGCCCATGTGTTTGTCATTTTAATAGTGTTTGTTTGTTGTTTAACACTGTACTAACAAATCATTAATTGACAGTCACAGAAAATCACAACCTTTGTCCATCCGAATATTTTTCAACATAGATTTAGCTCACTTCATTATTAAACGACCCGTGAAGATCTGGGTTAGAATAAATCTTCAGCAACTCATGCTTGCCATAAAAGGCTACTGAGGGGATCGGGTGGTCCGGCTCGCTGACTTGATTGATGCATGTCATGGTATCCCAATTGCGTGGATCGATGCTCATGATGTTAATCACTGTATTGTCTGGTCCAGACTCGATTATTTACGGACAGCCGTCATATAGCTGGAATGTTGCTGAGTGCGGCGTTAAACAACAAACCAAAAATCAAAGACAAGACTTTTTTTAACCATTTTCATTTGCTTCCTTCTAGCCAGAGACAAGTACCAAAATATCCGCGAAAAAGAAGCAAGTTGAGTTACAAGAACCAGCTATGAGTTACAGTCAGAACTCCCAGAACAGCTACAGCGACTTCAGCTACAGCGACCCCACCAACGCTTCAGGTGCCAGCCAGGCATACTTTAACCCCTATAACGGTCAGTACTACTACACATACGACTACCAACAGGCTTACCCACAGCAGCCTGTGTATGGCCAGCAGTACCCACTGTATCAATACCAGGATACTCAGTGGGTTCAGGAGCAGGCAGTACCCTCCCATTCCTACAGACAGAACCGTCCCCGGGGGCGTGGCGGAGGGGGGCAAAACACCAGAGGGAGGGGGACATGTTATTATAACCAGAACTATTATGGACAAAACCAAGGTTATTATAACCCAAATATGCACGATCAGCAATATTATGAAGCTAATTCTGGTCCAAGTCTGTCGGACGTAAACGAACAAAGCAACGAGTCAGCAAAACAGTTCGATCAAGGACAGAGTAGAACCTCAGAGTACAACAGCAGTACTACCACAGGGAGTTCTAGAGATGGAAACTCAAGCCGTCCAAGATATGGGAGTGATCGTGGGGGGAAACGGAAGCAGTATAACTACAGTGCGAGGGGGGAGCACAGTGGGCGGGGTAGAACCAGCGAGGACAGGGGAAAGGCATCTCCAGTTCCGGGTAGTCGGCCGAGGTCAGGCGACAAGAACAGACGAGAGGATGGCAGAGAGGGTGATGAGAAGGTTGGCCAGGCTGGTGTCAGGAGAGGTCAAGGTCATCGTGCTGAGAAGGATGAGACACAAAGGGGTAAGAGGACTTTATCATCATCTGAGAATTAACTTTCACTTTGTGCATGTTGTGGGAATTCATTGGAATATGAGTGCGGTCCAAACCTTATGAACACCAGAGTTTGGAAAAGCTGCATGAAAAACTTCACATCATTAAACTGTAAATATAAATGTCTTATTAGGTGAAACTGTTTACCATGGTAGAAACTAGCAATTTTAGTCCACTAGTCCTTATAATGATAACATATAGCAGGACCCTTAAAAATGACAAATTTCTACTTGTTCTGATAGTACGTACCTAAACTATTGGGCAGTTTGGCAGAGACTATTCGACAGTTTACAGAGATAAGCCTCATGTTAACTCAAGTACATTTGAAATTAACATTTGTCAGGGGTTTGTAAGGGGTGTAAAGTAAGAATTATGGATCGAAGCTGCCATCCTAACAAGTGAGTTTGGTTTATCACCACTATTAACAGTATTCCAGTTACCATATTACATCAAGGCGTGGCGTGTCAGCTTAATGTGGAAGGGAAACCCTAAGTGATACAGTCTCAGACACAAACCACTTTGGTGAAACCCATGAGCACGGGAATGGTGCTGACAAACCTTGAAACATTATTGTGGCAATCCAGGATTCGAACCTACAATCATACTGCTGTGCCCAAGGGTCGCAACTCTGCACAGCGAATGGTGGCACCTTAGACAACCGTCCCCTCCCCAACTCTAGAATATTGCCTATTGTGGCATGACTCAAATAGAGAACAATTGCAGTGGTGGAAGGTGCATGTTTATATGTAACCCCGGCTAATTCTAATGAATATTTGTTGTCCAGGAACTCTGTTGAACCAGCTGTCCCGCGGCAAGTACGAGTGTATGGTGTGCTATGACAACGTGCGGTGTGAACACGCCATCTGGAGCTGCGGCAACTGCTTCCACGTCTTCCATCTGCACTGCATCAAGAAGTGGGCTCGGACTTCCACCGTCACAGAGAGAGATGGTGAGACGCTCTAATATGGTGCATCACTCTCATGAGGGGGCATGCCTATGTCATTTTGAAAAGAAAGAGAATCATCATTGACATTTTTCTGGAGAATATCAATGAACCAGGAACATACTAGTAGGAACAAACTGATGGGTTTTTTCTTGTCTATTTGGTCATGCGTTTATCTGTGCAAGCAAATACTAGACTGTAATAATTTGTGCCAGTTAAATATATTTTGACCATTTGATTCCTAGAGTAATGATTTTCTCTCAAAGACGTTTGACAGGATTGTGTACTTTTTGATGTGGCTTTGCTTTTGAAACACTCATCCAGTATCACTCTGACCCAGTTGGATAATGTCAGCATGTTGTTTGTGTTAGGCCTAACATATTCTGTCCTGTTTTAGTGTTTAGAGGGAAGGGGGGGTTGAATGATGGCGCATCACTGAGAGGTTGTTCACACCCGGCCCTTGTGTTTCTATCTTTCAGGGAGTGTCACAGGCTGGAGGTGCCCTGCTTGTCAGAATGTCACAGAGAAAGTGCCCAACCAATACCGCTGCTACTGTGGTAAGTGTGTGCAGGTGCTTGTCAGAATGTCACAGAGAAAGTGCCCAACCAATACCGCTGCTACTGTGGTAAGTGTGTGTAGGTGCTTGTCAGAATGTCACAGAGAAAGTGCCCAACCAATACTGCTGCAACTGTGGTAAGTGTGTGCAGGTGCTTGTCAGAATGTCACAGAGAAAGTGCCCAACCAATACTGCTGCTACTGTGGTAAGTGTGTGCAGGTGCTTGTCAGAATGTCACAGAGAAAGTGCCCAACCAATACCGCTGCTACTGTGGACTTTCACAGACACTGTGTTTGTGTTTCAGCAAAGATGCGGGACCCAGCATACAGTCAGTATGAGACCCCTCACAGCTGTGGGGAGGTGTGTCACAAGAAGAGGAAGGGCGATTGCCCTCACCCTTGCACTTTGTGAGTTATGTCCCTTCACTGCCCTTGTACTTTGCCAGTAGAGTTATGTCCCTTCACTGCCCTTGTACTTTGTGAGTAGAGTTATGTCCCTTCACTGCCCTTGTACTTTGTGAGTAGAGTTATGTCCCTTCACTGCCCTTGTACTTTGTGAGTAGAGTTATGTCCCTTCATCTTCCGTTTCGAACCAATCTGATGGTCAATGGTAAATTCATCTGGGAAATCTGGTCAGTCATAAACATTTTCAAAATTCATTATGATGGCATTACCAAAGACATAAACATAAGTATAAACATTTGGGGTCAGAGGCACAAATTTCAAGATTCTTGTAATGGCCACAGCCATCCTAATGACAGTGATGTTACCGAGAGTGTAACGAACTGGGAAGGAGCGTGCCCTTGTATTTTGTGAGAAGAGTTATGTCCCTTCACTGCTCTTGTATTTTGTGAGTAGAGTTATGTCCCTTCACTTCACCCTTGTATTTTGTGAGTAGAGTTATGTCCCTTCACTGCCCTTGTATTTTGTGGGTAGAGTTATGTCCCTTCACTTCACCCTTGTACTTTGTGAGTAGAGTTATGTCCCTTCACTGCCCTTGTATTTTGTGAGTAGAGTTATGTCCCTTCACTTCACCCTTGTATTTTGTGAGTAGAGTTATGTCCCTTCACTGCCCTTGTATTTTGTGAGTAGAGTTATGTCCCTTCACTTCACCCTTGCACTCTGGGTTCCCTATGCCTTAGATTAGAATGAAATGCAAAGCAAACAAGGAGAGGAAAAGTCTTTGTTTAGCATGGTTGCTCTTCTCTTCATGTTGTTGGATAAGGCTGTGTCCTTGTACATCATGTAGCAAGCTGTCACTCACTGCAGTCACAAATGTATGTTCCTCCCCTCAGACTGTGCCACCCCGGACCGTGCCCCCCGTGCAGTGCTACCGTCAACAGAAGCTGCGACTGTGGCAGATCAAAGTAAGGAGACTACTATTCACAAAGCTTTATCAAATATTCTTGCTTCATCTCAATTAGCAGAAGACTCAAATTGGCCCCCATTATTTCGTGCTTAGCAAATATTGGGACTGTAATGCAACAAGGAGACATCACCAGTGTACGAACTAGTTTCCAAAGTTCACTGGTCAGGAGCCATCATCATATTTTCCTAAACTAAAACACTTCCAATAAACTACAAATGCAAACAAAATTATGTGTTAACTGACTTGACAATTTGTAGAAATAAATATGTATTGACTAAAATTGTCAACTTGATAGTCGGGCCAGCTTTATGGAAATGTTACTGGCCCAATTTAAGAGGCAGGCAGCTATTTGATATCACTTAGGAATTACATCACAATGATTTGCAGACCATCAAATGATGTCACTTTTCTTTCTGCCACTGAAGCTGGTTAGCTCTGTTTAGTACTTTTACTATAGCCAAATGGTTAAAGCATGCACAGTCACGCCGAAGACCCAGGTTCGATTCCCCACATGGGCACAATGTGTGAAGCCCATTTCTGGTGTCCCCCGCCGTGATATTGCTGGAATATTGCTAAAAGCGGTGTAAGACCACACTCAGTCACTTCATACTACAAACTATCGATTTCTTTCAAGCACATGATGACCTACAGCCATGTGTTTTGTTTGTCCAGGAATCTAGTACGGTGTGGTCACGACACAAGCTACAAGTGTGACGCTGTGTGTGGCAAGTCCCTCAACTGTGGCAAACATGAGTGCCAGGAGGTGTGCCACAAGGGCGATTGCCACGCGTGTGAGGAGAAGGTCACACAGAGTACGTTGATTTATCTTAGACCAGGGGAAGTTGGCTGGCATAACGCCTAACCGTTCACTCTGAAAGCCATGGTTTGATTCCCAACATGGTTTCAATAGTTACAGTTGTAAATGGATATGTATATTATCTTAATTTTATTTTATTTGGTCTTATTGTATTTTTTGATTTGTATTCTATTTGTTTTTTATATTTATATTTATATTTTTATTATATTTACTCTTTTTTTTATAGTGATGTTCCTTTTAGCTTGTTGCCAACCAATGCTGTTTCTTTGGGAACATTACAATTTAAATATATTGAACTGACATGTCCAGGGAAATGAGATTAAAGGTTTACTTCAAAATTGATTTTCGTTCAAATAAATATATTAAACACATTTTTTCTAATATTTCAAGAAATAAGAAGAATTTGCAAAAGATGTCTAAGTAACTACTTGTGAAAATATTGAAATACTGGTGCGTGGACTTGAATCTTTTAAACAGTGTTATTAGATATACAAATTGAACCAGTGTGCTCATAAATCTGTTTGAAGGTACCCTTGGTTTTACTTCTAGCCTAAAACACCCTGATCTTTGCCTTGAAAAGCCTTAACAATGCCTTGCATGAGGTAGAGGGTGTGGACTGACTCATCTACCTGTCTGTGTTCCAGAATGTTACGGGGGCCACAGTCAGAGGGACGTACTCTGTGGCAGTGTCGAGTCCAGAGAGGTGTCCTTCTCCTGTGATGAGGAGTGTCGACGGTAGGTGCATGGAGCTTTGTCTTGTATTTTTTGTAAGTTAGAGACATAACAGTGCCATATATGGCCTACCAAGACATATTCTTTCTTGGTTGGAGGCAGGATCAAAGGCACCACTGATCATATATTAAACAAAATATGATGCCGTACTTGATCTGATCTGGTCTGGGAAAGACCATGTTTAGCATTTCTAAATAATAATTTCGGTTAATTTGTGTTGATTAATGGTGATTAAGAAGTTGTTGCAATTTCCGGCAGTAAAATTTATGTTGACTGTTTTATATTTATTAATAAATCAGTTTGGGGTTTTAATGTGACGTTTTATTTTTATTGTATAATGATGTAAGTGTTTAAAACTGAAAAGATGTCAGTACTATATAAGAAAGGAATGTAGTTTTCACTAAAATGATAAAGTGATATCATGATACTAAGCTTGATTGATTATCATAAACCCGTGAAAACCCGGGTTTGAATTGGTCTTTAGCAACCCATGCTTGCCACAAAAGACAGCCAACGGGATCATGTTGACAGGCTCGCTGACTTGGTCGATGCATGTCATTGTATCCCAACTGCATTGATCGATGCTCATGATGTCAATCATTGAATTGTCTGGTCCAGAATTGATTATTTACAGATCAGCGTCATATAGCTGGAATATTGCTGAGTGCGGCATTAAACAACAAACTGATAAGCATGATGATGATGGAGATTGTACGAATGCTTCATTTGGAACTGATGTCGCTCTTGGCTAGTTCTGCTGCTGTCCTGACCGATATTCTCTGTGTCTCCAGCGCCCTCAAGTGTGGCACTCACACGTGTGAACAGCTGTGTCACCCCGGGGAGTGTGGCAGGTGCCCCCTCCTCCCAGACCTTGTCACACACTGCCAGTGTGGCCAGACCCTCCTGACCGACCTCCCTGATGGTCAGCGCTCAAGTTGTGCTGACCCCATCCCAGTCTGTGATAAACTGTGCTCAAAGCCTCTCACTTGTGGCCCAAAAGGTAGGTTAAGTTGAAATATTCTTGTGTATCATGAAATGCCTTCTTCCCGAGCCAAGGGAGTTAACTGACTATACAGGTCCAGCTCCAACCTTGCTGACCTGGACTGGAATTTCTGAGTTCTATTTTGGATGGAATGACGATTCTATGTATAGGTCAATCAAAATCACATAACGAAATCGAAATCCAGTTTGTAAACACATGGCAACTGCAATGCAGGTTTTGGTCGATTGCAGTATTTGCAAAGCTTGTGTTCCGCCACCATGGTTCTAACACTTCCCAAAGTAAATGCTTATTACAATATATATCTCATTATCGATCAGATCTTGACTGGGTGCCCCCATTTTTTTTTAAGCAAATGTAACTGCAAGTGGTATGACAGGTGGAATCTGATTCTTCAATGGAAGGGGCATAGAAGGGACTCGTAATAGCCACTGGTGTTGCTGCGACCGAGCCACAAAATTGCAGCCTGGTTTGGCAAGGGTGGAAATTGGACTTTTATGTCAGTCAGTTAAAGAGTCAGATGTTGGTCACTTGCCAAGGATAAATAAAAAAACAAAGAGTTTGGTTTCACTTTTGTGATCCATTGAGTATTTACGCCTATTTTACCTACAGATGCCCCCCATACATGTGATCGTCCTTGTCACATTGGGGAGTGTGGTCCCTGTGAAGGGGAGACAACTCTAATGTGTTACTGTGGGGCCAAGGAGAAGGTTTTCTCTTGTTCTGAAACAACCAAATTTACAGGTAAGCCTTGTACAACTGATTCTATGGTGCCAGTCTTAACAGGACACAAACATATTTTCTTATTGCCAAGAGAAACATGTCACAGGTTTTGTTCAACAGAGTACACTCAGTTCATGACAAGTCAATGTTTATTTGTGAACAATAGTCAAAACGAAAAGTAAATATATTACTTACATATTTCTAGTTTGTTGTTTGATTCCTTTTCTATGTTAGATGTTGTAAGAGTTAATCAAAAGTACCATCTTTTAATATTACCCCATGGGGATTCTGGATTGAAATTCATCCCCAGCAACCTATCGGGTATGCTGTTTGATTGATTGTTGCTATGATGTCTATGAAAGCAGTCTAAAAATAATTGAGTCTGGACCAGACAATCCAGTGATTGACATTATGAGCATCAACCCAAGCAATTGAGAAATGATGACACGCTGTCAACCAAGTCCCCGAACGGGACTGCCCGATCCATTTAGTCACCTCTTACAACAAGCATCGGTTGCTGGGGACCTGTATCCTTGCCTGTAATCCTCACAAGCAACAACATATGCTTGTCATGTGAGGCGACTTAATGGATCGGATGGTCAGGTTTTCTGGCTCTCTCGATTGTATGGTTTCTTGTCCTGACTCTTGGGAGAAGTCGCACATATCATCAATCTAAAAGCGGCGTAAAACCATTCTCACTCACTCACTCATATTATCAATCACTGGTATATCTGGTACAGACTAAATTATTTACAATGCAGGTAAACGTGATGTAGATGTATATTACTGGTGCAAAATACACAACAAACAAATAATGTATATCGTGTATGTTATTTTCTGTTTTGTAGTCACTAATCCTTACAAATGTGAGCGGCGATGCACGAAGAAGAAGTTGTGTGCTCGTCACAAGTGCACTGAAACATGCTGTACGGTAAGAATCTTTGGGGGATGGGTTCGTTCCTCCCGGCCATATTGGGTTACATGTGAGGTGAGGTGAGGTGAAATTGGGTTTATCGTCGCGTCCTGGGTTACATGTAGTTGGGTTTATAAGGGCGGGGGGGGCGGTCGGGTAGCCTAGTGGTTAAAGCGTTGTCCCGTCACGCCGAAGACCCGGATTCGATTCCCGACATGGGTACAATGTGTGAAGCACATTTCTGGTGTCCCCCGCCTGGATTTTGCTGGAATATTGCTAAAAGTGGCGTAAAACCATACTCACTCACTCACTCATTATAAGGGCGGGTAATTTAGGAATGCGAGAACCACGGGAATGGATCCAGGGGTTAGTGCAGGTGTACCGAAATACGAGCCCTTTGAGTATGATGATCGTTGGGATCCTGCCTGATTCCCATCATTGCTCCGACGCCGTATCAGGGCGTGTGCTGAGAAGCCTTTGACCTGTCATAGATGAGTGGTAATAAAGATGGGAGAAATAGAAGTCAAGGCTTTTGAAAGGCATTTAGAAGTGCTACATGTAAGGTAGAGAATTTATGGATGTCAACATCTTTATCATGAAGGACTCAACGTTTTGGAGTATATGCTTACTCCTTTGTCACCTGATGATATACTCCGAAACATTGTGTTCCTTATAAAAAAGAAGTTGACATCCATAAATTCTCTGATGAAGGAGTAAGCAAAAACTACAAAACGTTGTGTTCCTCATAATAAAGAAGTTGACATCGATAAATTCTCTTCCTTATGAAATATAAGTCATTTTGAACTTTTAAATTTGTGTGAGTGTGTCTTACCAGGAAACATCGTCAGGTCTATCTGTATGTGTAACATGCAATTTTTAAAAATTTTCTTTTCATCAATATTATGTCTCACAGTCATTTTTTGCATCCCAAAGAAAATGATCTGCATCCATTCTCAATTTGTATGCATATGGGATGAGACCGCCTCCGTGGTCTAGTGGTAGAGCGTCTGCCCGGAGAGCGGAAGGTTCGGGGTTCGATCCCCGGCCGCCTCATACCAAAAGACTTTAAAAGATGGTACTTGTTGTTACCCTGTCTGGCGCTCGGCATTAAGGGGCTAAAACAAGGACTGGTCGGCTCGGAGTCAGTATACTGTGTCTGAGTGGGGTATTCATGTTAAACTGCGGCAAGGTATCTCAGTGAGCTAGCACTATAAATCGACATCAGTCCAGACTAGTACAAGCAGACACACAAACATAACACATACATGCACATCGCTATATAAGTGCAATAATCTTGGACATGAAGTTAAATCCCATTTCACCCATCATCCATATAGTATGAAGTACCGTATTTGACATAATAAGCGCCCAGGGCGCTCTCAAAATTAGAAATAGTCAGCTCTTAATAGAATGTTATTTTGGTGAGAGAAAAAACAGAGTTGAAAGATAAATTTCGTGGTTTATGCTGACAGCCTGAAATGTTTATATACGACAGATATATTTTTTCAGAATTTAATTGCCTATTATACGCGAATAAATAAGTCTTTTGTACATTGATCAATCGGAAGGGGTGCTAATTGGGATTGTTCACCAGCAAATATATAAGTAAATAATGCCGTGGGCGCTTATTAGAGCAGGGCGTTTATTACATCGAATACGGTATTTTACGTTGGCTAAACCTCAGGTTGGTCTGTGTTCCAGAGAGATGTTCACATCTGTGAAGTGACGTGTGGCAAGAAGCTGAAGTGTGGCCGCCACAAGTGTAAGGCTCTGTGTCACCGTGGCAACTGCCAGCCTTGTCTTGTTGCTGGTAAGTCTTGACTGGAACGTACTGTAATTACATTAAGTAATACGTTACCACTGTTATACCGAGGCTGTTGTCTCCCACAAATTATACCATATTAAGTGCCCAACTCCAATACATGTCCCGACCAATTTCTAGATTTATAACTGTCCTCTTAGACTATGACTGAAAATTTACATTACAGTCGATATATTCTTGTGTAAAATACAGATTTTGTATAGAAAACGGCACTACATGAGTAGAATATTGCCTTGTAACTATTATCGAATAAGTTTTCTTTTAATTGATGTTTGAACTTGGGTCCCTAACACTCGATGTCTGATAATAAATTTAACTTGCGTATGGTTTAAAGAAGCTCTCCTCTTTGTCAATTTGCTGAGTGCCAGGAAGCTTATTGCAGTGCATACAGTACATCCAACTATATACAACTGGCACCTGACAACTGATGTGCCCCTTCTGCTTTATTCTCGCTGCAGTGCTTTATTGTACGATAAACAACTCCCACTCGTCGTTTATTTCTTATATGAGACATCAACGTTATGTACAGTTAAGGATGACAATAAATTGTACAAGCCGTAAAAATATTTACCGCATTTAAATAATGATGATTCCCTGAAGAAAATCTGACCTCGGCAATCTCGGACAAGTCTATTTTATGTGGGTATTTCCCGCATATTCTCATAATCCTCACCTCGATTACCTGTATCTTTTCTCCCAATACCGATTGTCATATCTCTCCAGCTTTGGGATGCGATCGTTCGGCTATCATGTTTATCTGCATTGCCCTGCTACATTTCAAAATTAGAGTTGTCACATATGCAACATTATCAAATCTCCAGAAATGACGTCATGATAGAACAATGTTTTATTGAAAAGTAAACTATGCTTCGTTCTTCATTGTTCTTTGTATTTTATCGCGTAGCTATGTTATTTAAATCAATAAATACATGTCACAAACTCTGTGTTTAGTTGATGTAATTATCAAGATGCATGCTGTGTTTAATCTGTCAGGTTTTGATGAGTTGTCCTGCCACTGTGGAGCAGAGATCATCTTCCCACCAATACCGTGCGGGACACGCCCACCTGAATGTCACAAAACATGCGTCCGAACCCACCCGTGTCAACATCAAGGTGATCCTTCCTCCTTTTCCAAATTTCTAGTATGACCATGTTAGGGAATTGAGCCCATTAGTCTCATATCCTCTGCATAGTTGCCAACCTTAGATGTGCCAGGATCTGCTGTTGTGGCTCAGATCCTAATGTTGTGTTGATTGATCAGCTTGATCCTTGGTCTTTCAATACCCGAGCTCATTGAGTGAGTGAGTGAGTAGGTATTACGCCGCTTTTAGCAATATTCCAGCAATATCACGGCGGGGGACACCAGAAATGGGCTTCACACAATGTACCCATGTCGGGAATCGAACCCGGGTCTTCGGCGTGACAAACGAAAGCTTTAACCACTAGGCTACCCGACCGCCCCCCGAGCTCATTAGTTTTAACTGTTTTGCCAACTGGGTTTTTGTCCGTGTGAAAGCAGACTTGAAATACTTCGATATTGAAGCAAAAGTACTTTGTTTTTTAATAATATCATACTGTTGTGGCATCAAAGATTTGCTCCAATCAATGAGAGTTTTCATCCCATATACAACATTCTATTGTCTTCAGTTCGCCATAACTGCCACAGTGACAGTGTATGCCCACCCTGCACGGAGCTGATGGAGAAACTCTGTATGGGAGGTCATGAGGTAAGATCACAAACTCCTAACAGGAACATGTTTCGTGTGTCATTAACATGGCTGGAGAACCAGTTAACTTCATACTTAAATATCTGTATAGAAATTATGACATACATTCATCGGGAAAAGACAGATGCATAAATAATCTATGTGTTACAAAAGTAATTTGAGTAATCTTATGACCTTTTCTTATATGCAAGCCCGTGCGTGTGTGATTGGTTGCGTGCTTGCATGATTGGTTGCATGCCTGGGTGATTGGTTGCGTGATTGGTTGCTTGTGTGCGTGATTGCTTGCGTGCTTGCGTGATTGCTTGCGTGCTTGGGTGATTGGTTTCGTGCTTGTGTGCGTGCATGTGTTCGGGCGTATGTTGTTTTGGGTGTTTTTTCGTGCCACTAATGATGTAGTTGAGTTAATTATTTCCTGTTTCAGACTCGCAAAAACATCCCCTGTCACATGGCTGATATTTCCTGTGGGAGACCGTGTGGTAGACTGCTCCTGTGTGGGATACACAAGTGTCTGCGTATCTGTCACAAGGTGAGCCCCTTCAGTGTGATGGTAGGGTACACATGGTTACTGCAGTGTACAGCCCTGTGGTGATTCTGGGTTAGATTTGCTCCCCAGTAACCTTTGCTGGTCATATATAAGTGGTGTCTTGTCATTGTGTCTCAGTTGTGTGGATCAACGATCATGTTCATCTATTTGATTGTCTTGCTAGAGTCGGTTATTTATTTAGCCGTCATATAGCCCATGAAGATCAGGGTTAATCAATCTCATTAATATCAGATCTTAGTTCTCGCTACCGCTAAACAAAGATCTGAAGACGTCCCATTACGGGTCATGTCAGAACGACCTTTCATCCGACCAATAAGAGCGTCGCTTACCAGATCATGAAAGTGACAGTTGGAATGTGATTTCTAATCATGCAACCTCGAAAACTTTAACACGGGGTATTCAGAACGATAGTTACCATGGTTACGGGCTTAGCCATTCCAGAATGTTGTTTGTTCAGGTTTCAATTTTTTTATCGAGAATATGTTTTGAAGCGTAGTCGCCAGTTTGAAATTAGTGCCGTAAAGCACGAGAAAGCTGCCTTCTGATTGGCTAACGTGGACTTCTTGTCAGTCATTTCATTGGTTGGTCAAAGTTCGCGCAAGGTCGGTCTGACGTGACCCGTAATGGGATGTCCTCAGATCTTTGTTTAGCGGTAGCGAGAACTCAGATCTGATTTTAATGAGAGTGAGGGTTAATTGGTCTGCTTGTTGTAAGTTGCAACTAACGGGATTGGGTGGTCAGGCTGGCTGAGTATTTTGATGCATGTCATCATATCCCAATCGATGCTCATGATGTGAGTCACTGAATTGTCTGGTCCAGACTTGATTATTTACATGTCACTGTCATATAGCTGGAATATTCCTGAGTGTGGTGTTGAACAACAAACAAACTGCTGTGTAGGGGGTTCTTTACTCTAGACTAGGGTTTGGACAGGTGACCGCGTTTTTTTACTCCAGACTAGGGTTGGGACAGGTGACCCAGGGTCCTGAGTGTGGTGTTAACAACAAACAAACTGCTGTGTACGGGGTTCTTTACTCTAGACTAGTGTTGGGACAGGTGACCGCGGTTCTTTACTCATGACTAGGGTTTGGACAGGTGACCCAGGGTCCTGAGTGTGGCGTCAACAACAAACCAACTGCTGTGTACGGGGTTCTTTACTCTAGACTAGGGTTGGGACAGGTGATCCAGGTTCCTGAGTCGGTTCTTTCAGTTTTCAGGAGCAATGTATAACCTGGCTAATGCTCCCTGTCATTGGTCGTTGCTCATGTTATCAAGCACAGGTTCACCTGGCCGTGGTGATGATGTTGGAGTGTTACTGATGTGTTGTATGTTGGTGATGCAGGGGGACTGCGAGAGGGAGGGGGACGTGTGTGTACAGCCGTGCGTCAGGAAGAGAGAGGGATGTGACCATCCCTGTGCAGCTCCCTGTCATCCGGACGACGCTTGCCCTAAAGTGCCTTGTAAAGCTGAGGTCAGTTCAAAATAACTGTGATCATGATTCATTCATCACTTTAATATATGGCTGAAATACTGCCGATGTGACGTTAAATATTAACTCACTCACTACCATGTGATTTGTTGTAACAATTTGTAGCATGCAATTTCAGCAAGAAAAGTGTTTTGTTGTAGCATACAACTCCAGTTTCACATTGTTCTTGTTAAAAATCTCATCACAAAGGATACTTCAAGCGATGATGAATCGTTGCTGCTGCTGAGTGAGATCTTGTCACTTTGTGTCCGAAATATTGACAACACAAGCCATGGGAGGTAACTCTGGAGTTACCAACTATATACATTTATTGATTGGGTGATTGGTTACAATTTGTGACATGCCTTTGGGCAAGTTCTGATCCATTCAACTCACTTGTACAAGTAACAGGTATGAGGCGACTGAATCAGTGCAACTTAGGGGTTCTGAGAAGAACCTTCAATGCGACAAGTCGTTACTTGCTTAATCACATGCGACAAGTCATTACTGCAAATCACATGAGAATCTCTTCTAATGACTTGTCCTGGGGGGCATGGGTGGCCCAGTCACCTAAGGCACCACAAATCGCTGCGCAGAGTTGCGTCCCCTGGGCACACCGAAAACCTATGATCGTGGGTTCGAATCCCGGTTCGCCCTGATTATGTTTCCAGGTTTGTCAGCACCATACCTGTGCTCGTGGGTTTCACCAAAGTGGTAAACGCCTAAAACCTGCATCAGTTCTGGCTTTCACATTAAGCTGACTCGCTGTGATATGACCATGATAACTTGAATACTGATCAAAGTAGCATTAAACCCAACTCACTCACTCACTCACTCACTCACTCACTCACTCACTCACTCACTCACGCACGCACTCACTCACTCACTCACTCACTCACACTTACTCACTCACTCACTCACTCACTCACTCACTCACTCACTCACTCACTCACTCACTCACTCACCTTGTCCTGTGTGTGACCCCAAGCATCCCTGTGTTGCAGATCACCATCAAGTGTCCGTGTGGCCATCAGAGCGCCAAGGTGTCCTGCTTGTTGGGCGGGGACAGTAGCACAAACATCTCTGAGTACCAGAAGTAAGAACACCTCATTCTGCTCGTATATGTGGCTCAATCTTACCCTTCCTATATGAGTGGTCTGTCTCACCCTTCCTGTATAAGTGGCCCAATCTCACCCTTCCTGTATTAGTGGCTTAGTCTCACCCTTCCTGTATTAGTGGTCCGATCTCACCCTTACTGTATAAGTGGCCAGTCTCACCCTTCCTGTATAAGTGGCCCAGTCTCACCCTTCCTGTATTAGTGGTCCGATCTCACCCTCCCTGTATTAGTGGTCCGATCTCACCCTTCCTGTATGAGTGGCCCAGTCTCACCCTACCTGTATTAGTGGTCCGATCTCACCCTTCCTGTATGAGTGGCCCAGTCTCACCCTACCTGTATTAGTGGTCCGATCTCACCCTTCCTGTATAAGTGGCCCAGTCTCTCTCTTCCTGTATTAGTGGTCCAGTTTCACCTTTCCTGTATGAGTGGTCCGATCTCACCCTTCCTGTATAAGTTGCCCAGTCTCACCCTTCCTGTATGAGTGGTCCAGCCTCACCCTCCCTATATGGGTGGTCCAGCCTCACCCTCCCTGTATGAGTGGCCCAGTCTCACCCTTCCTGTATGAGTGGCCCAGTCTCACCCTTCCTGTATGAGTGGCCCAGTCTCACCCTTCCTGTATTAGTGGTCCGATCTCACCCTTCCTGTATTAGTGGTCCGATCTCACCCTTCCTGTATAAGTGGCCCAGTCTCACCCTTCCTGTATTAGTGGCCCAGTCTCACCCTTCCTGTATGAGTGGCCCAGTCTCACCCTTCCTGTATGAGTGACCTAGTTTCACCCTTCCTATATAAGTGGCCCAGTTTCACCCTCCCTGTATGAGTGGTCTGATCTCACCCTTCCTGTATGAGTGGTCCAGTTTCACCTTTCCTGTATGAGTGGCCTAATCTCACCCTTGTGATGCCCAATCTCACCAATATTGAGCATAAATCCAAAGTATTGTTCTCGTTGGCTTACGTTTCCTAAGGAACACCTAAACATCTTTATGAATGCCTTGTGGCACACTTGAAAGAAGTCGTCACGATATGGCTGAAATATTGCTGATGTGACGTTAAGCTTTAACTCACTCACTCACTCACTTGAAAGAAGCTACCTCTGTCTCCCTGGACTGTCACTGACCATGTGTTGTGTTGCCAGGGTGACCGTGCAGCAGCTGTCCAGTGGGCGTGTCATGGACATGGCCAAGTTGGCGAGTGTCATGAAGGGCGGAACACGGAGGTACGTACCGCTTCATCCTGCATTCAGCAGGAGTCCAACTGCCTGGATTAAAGAGGCCTTTTGGCTGTGAACGTATAAGGCCTCACAGTAGACTATCTACTATCTCAATGTAACAGTTATCTTTTAGGAGAAATATATTCTTTTTGATAAGGTTTGATATTTGTTTGAGGATGATTTGGTTAGGATTTCCTGGACATGTACCAATTTTGAGGTCATGTCTCATTACCCATGTGAAGAGGTTAGAATTGGTCCCCAGCAACCTGTGCGGGTCGTAAGAGGCCACTTTGTGGATCGGGTGGTCAGGCTTGGTGACTCAATATCAGTCACTGGATTGTCTGGTCCAGTTATTTACAGACCACTGTCATATAGCTGGAATATTGCCCTGTGCAGTGTTGAACAATGTGCACGTGCCAAGCATGTACGCGCACACCCACAGATCTCCAGAAATCATATTCATTCAGCCATTCCAGAAATTATATCCACGACATGACCCGGCTGTCACAGTGTGTATTACCTAGCTGTCTCACCTATACAGGGCCTCTATGTGTTTGATGGGCGGTTGGGTAGCCTAGTGGCTAAAGCGTTCGCTCGTCACGCCGAGGAACCAGGTTGGATTCCCGACATGGGTACAATGTGTGAAGCCCATTTCTGGTGTCCCCCGCCGTGATATTGCTGGAATAATTGCTAAAAGCGGCGCACTCACTCACTCACTCACTCACTCACTCACTCACTCACTCACTCACTCACTCACTCACTCACTCACTCACTCACTCACTCACTCACTCACTCACTCACTCACTCACTCTGTGTGTTTGTGTACAGAGATAGTTTTATAGGTTGAAATCCCAGTTTTCAGTGATTATGTTTCTAGGTTTGTCACGACCATACTCACCATCATTGGTTCCACAATAGTGGTAAATGTCTCAGACCGTATCAGTTCCGGGTTTCCTCCCACATCAAGCAGACACCCTGTGATATAACTGGAACACTGTACAAAGCGGAGTTAAATTTCATGTATTGTTGGTATATTGAGAGAAAATCACTTGACCTTCCAGCTTGGACTGTGATGCTGAGTGTGCTATCATTGAGCGGAACCGCCGTGTGGCGCTTGCCTTGGAGATCAAGAACCCAGACTTTCAAGGGAAACTCGGCAACCCTACGTTCTCTGATTTCCTCAAAGAATTTGCCAAGTAAGTTATTACAATGACTAGAATCAGTGATTACACTGGAGACAAGACATAAGGATATTTTCATGATTTTATTACCTTGGTTCAGAATTATGGTCCTGAAACAATTGGTCACTGAGGACTACCATCATTGGATTTTTACTTCTCCTCAGCGCAGTTTATTAGTGTCAGGCTAGCAGAGTAGCGTGACGTTTGAAGGCTGCTGACACAGCCATAGCTAAAGGTCATAATGAGGGACACTGGACTCAAGACACTATAACAGTACCATTGCAACCAACTAGCCACGGGAACTGTCTGATGAGATCAGAAGTGTCACCTAGCTCATAGTATGTCATAACATCCTGTTGATCATTGCTCATGCTGTCAGTCCCTTGTTTAAAGATCTCATACTGCCCAAATAGACCTGTGAAGATCCGGGATAGATCCAGGACAGAATAGGTCTTCAGCAACCCATGCTTGATGTAAGAGGCATCTAACGGGATCAGGTGATGAGGTGACATAGCTGGAATATCGCTGAGTGCGGCCATCAAACAAACCAAACAGTTGCCCAAATATGTCTGACATCATAATATATATAACACAACTTTTACTCACATATTTACTAGGGTATTTTATTTTGTAACCTGTTTCCATGAACATAAGTGATATTGTACCAAAGGGAAGTATTTACATGATTATTTAAGTACCTGTCTATTACAATTCCATACCCATCTTCACACAACGAAGCCCCTGCAAACATGTGGCCTATCTCAATTGAAACCCATACAAACATGTGACCTATCTCAAATGAAACCCATACAAACATGTGACCTATCTCAAATGAAACCCATACAAACATGTGGCCTATCTCAAATGAAACCCATACAAACATGTGACCTATCTCAAATGAAACCCATACAAACATGTGGCCTATCTCAAATGAAACCCATACAAACATGTGACCTATCTCAAATGAAACCCATGCAAACATGTGGCCTATCTCAAATGAAACCCATACAAACATGTGACCTATCTCAAATGAAACCCATATGAACATGTGACCTATCTCAAATGAAACCCATGCAAACATGTGGCCTATCTCAAATGAAACCCATCCAAACATATGGCCTATCTTAAATGAAACCCATACAAACATGTTGCCTATCTCAAGGGAAACCCATACAAACATGTGGCCTACCTCAAATAAAACAAACAAACATGTGGCCCCTCTCAGATTCTCAGTCTTGTCCCTTGAAAAAAAGGGTTGGCTCCTAAAAACTTAGGTTTTGCTCCTAAGATATTCATGTTAGGAACCGCTTGCTCCCTAACAAAAGAAAGAACTTGGAGGGCTGCATTTCTGACACATGATTTTATGTCCTTTTTCAGAAAGTACCCGAAGTTTGTGTCGGATGTGGAGAAGGCCCTGAGTGATCTTGTCCACTCTGCTAAACAGGTGAGTGGAGCACACATGATGAGGACATTTCTGTTCCAACACAGATCACTCACTCATCATAGGGCAGGTGGGCTGGAGAATGTTCATTCCTGATTGTACTACAGTTGAACATGGATATAATGAACTACAAGGGACTTGAGAAATCAGTTCATTATATACGTTTTTCGTTATATACGTTTTCACTCAGAAACATCCGCATCTTGGATAAAACAAAACGCAATACACATAATTGCAGCATTGACTTGTATTAGCAGTGATCACTTCATAGTATTCAACTGATAACATATTATAAAGTATTTCATAACATTAAATTCATAACGTTTTTAGAACACATATCATTTCACAATTTACATACGGGGAGATGTGCAGTCGGAGATTTTGCTCTGGCCTCGTTTTGCTGACTGCATTCGTGAAACTGCAACGTTGAGATCAGCCAAACTCTCAAATGATGTCATCTGTGTTACTTTTGCATGTGACCGCCTCCGTGGTCTAGTGGTAGAGCGTCCGCCCAGAGAGCGGAAGGTCCGGGATTCGATCCCCGGCCACGTCATACCAAAAGACGTTAAAAGATGGTACTTGCTGTTACCCTGTCTGGCGCTCGGCATTAAGGGGCTAAAACAAGGACTGGTCGGCTCGGAGTCAGTATACTGTGTCTGAGTGGGGTATTCATGATAAAAACTCCGGCATGTTATCTCAGTGAGCTAGCACTATAAATCGGCATCAGTCCAGACTTGTACAGCCACACAAACACACACACGTACATGCATTTTGCTATAAAAGTGCAATAATCTTGGACGCAACGTTAAACCCTATTTCACCTCACCTACTCAGTCTGATAACGAAATGTTGCAGATTCAGAATGTTGCACTGTCGGATTCAGCCACACCATCAGTCAACACGAAGCCACCTTTTCGGAAACAGTTCTTTATTGATTCGATGACTTGGTTGATGCATGTCATCCTATCTCAATTATGTGGATTGATGATCATGATATCAATCACTGGATTCTCTGGTCCAGACTCAATTATTTACAGACCACCGTCATAAGCTGGAATATTGCTGAGTGCAGTGTTAAACAACACACAAACACACAAAACAACATCTAGCCTTGTGAGCAGTCTGTCCATCATACCATGGGTGTTTGTCTGTCCGTCAGTCCAACCGTTACACTGGTGATAGTTTGAGACCATTATTTATTTCAGTCCAAGCATGCCACTCGGAGCCACGCCTTCAGTCCGATGACCCGGGACCAGCGCCATCTCGTACATGAGCTGGCAGAGTTCTACGGTTGTGAGACTCAAAGTTATGATTCGGAACCAAAGAAGAACGTGGTTGCAATCGCAAAAAGGTATGTACTGGAGTATTGGTCATGCCTTGTGTTGGTCGAGTCTCCTCAGTTCCACCCAAGGACTCCCCATGGATTCACTCGTCAGGGGTTAAATATCCTTCTGCTGTATTTGCCCTCTTCTTTTCTACAACTTCTGACCTGTGAGGTGAGGTGAGGTGAGGTGAGGTGAAATGGGGTTAAACGTCGCGTCCAAGATTATTGCACTTATATAGCGACGTGCATGTACGTGTGTGTGTTTGTGTGGCTGCTTGTACTAGTCCGGACTGATGCCGATTTATAGTGCTAGCTCACTGAGATACCATGCCGCAGTTGAACATGAATACCCCACTCAGACACTGTATACTGACTCCGAGCCGACCAGTCCTTGTTTTAGCCCCTTAATGCCGAGCGCCAGACAGGGTAACAACAAGTACCATCTTTTAACGTCTTTTGGTATAACGCGGTCGGGGATCGAACCCCGGACCTTCCGCTCTCCAGGCGGACGCTCTACCACTAGACCACGGAGGCGGTCTCTGACCTGTGAAGATCCGGGAGAGGATAGGTCTTCAGCAACCCATGCTTGCCGTAACAGGCGACTATGCTTGTCATACGAGGCGACTAAGGGGATCAGGTGGTTAGGCTTGCTGACTTGGTTGATGCATGTCATCTTATCCCAATTATGTAGATTGATGCTCATGATGTCAAACACTGGATTGTCTGGTCCAGACTCGATTATTTACAGACCGCCGTGATATAGCTGGAATATTGCTGATTGAGACAATAAACAAAACAAACAAATTCTACAACTTGTATTCCACTTCCAGAGACAAGTGTTGGCTGCCCAACTCGACCTTGACTGCTGTGCTGCAACGTGAACATGGCCGCACGGCACCGCCTCCAATACCTCACTTCCACCAGTCCAGTGAGCTCAGGTGAGTTTCAGGGAATTCCTCCGCACTCATGGCCTTATGTTTACACTGTTTGTGTTGTTGGGATATTTCACCATACCCAACAGTGCTCACACTATCAGCCACTACATTTTCTGGTCCATGCAAGTTTGTGCAAGCTGCAATTCTATGACTATTGCTGACAGGAGTGTAAGGCCTTTTTGTCTTCCGACACGAAGTGAAAGGGGGATATAGAAATGGGTGCTGTCTGTCCATCCTTCACGTTTCGTTTCCAGAGAAGATATATTAACCAAACTTGGCACATTGATAGGTCTAGTGATGAACTGGTGCCTTTTGTTAATTTATGATTTTGAAAAGAATTATTTTTTGAGTTCCATGGCAGCACTTTGACTTAGACTATAAATGGCAGAAGAGCTTGTTTCCGAAGCAGATCTAGATAAACGTACAATATTTCTTGCTTTGCTTTGCCTGTCATATTGGCAGGGGAGTATTTCCTGCTTATTTTTTTTTTAACAAAATAGTGGCCATAAAATAACAGAAATCAGATAACAATAAACTGTCTTGTGACTCAGTTTTGGGAGCCGCTTCTGCATCATTTCAGGAATGTGCATGTGATATTATTTATCGTTGTTTAGAGGCCACAACTTTTAACTATTTGGAAGTCGGCCTTGAAATCCCAGTCACTACACTGGTTGATGTTCGCTTGGGTATTCATGGCAAATGTGGGGCGGTCGGGTAGCCAAGTGGTTAAAGCGTTCGCTCGTCACGCCGAAGACCCGGGTTGCATTCCCGACATGGGTACAATGTGTGAAGCCCATTTCTGGTGTCCCCCACCGTGATATTGCTGGAATATTGCTAAAAGCGGTGTAAAGCCAAAACTCACTCACTCACTCACTCACTTGGCAAATGTTTGTGGGTGTAAATGACATCAGTTGAAACTAGTGTCAAACCATCCATTATGGACACTATCTGACAACAAACTCAATGTTTACAAGTTAAGGCTTATTTGTATTTCAAATCATAATTCTGTATATATTTGCCTTGAAGTTGGCATTTGATCTTGTCACCATCTACTTTAAACATTCGGCCACAGATTTTGCAAATCAAGTAAATATTTAGTAAGAGAATCTCACATTTGACCACTTTCTAAATGGCATTGTGTGTTCATAGCTTTCGTGAAGATCCGGGGTAGAATCAGCAACCCATGCCTGCCATAAAAGGTGACTATGCTTGTCGTTTAAGGTGACTGATGGGATCTGATGGTCAGGCTCGCTGACTTGTTTGATGCATGTCATCAATCCCAATTGCGTTGGTCGATGCTCATGATATTAATCACTGGATTCTCTGGTCCAGACTCGATTATTTACAGTCCGCCGTCATATAGCTGGAATATTACTGAGTGCTGCGTTAAACATAAACCAAAATAATAGCTTTCGGCCATGGGAGCCATGCCAATTTACACTTGTCAGAGGGCTGTACAAAGTATGTTATCTAGACTACCAGTTGGACTTTTTGTGGAAGACTTGGTGGTTGGGTGGGTTAGATAGCTGACTTTGTGTGCTGGTGATTAGTTGCCTCACTCTGACAGTGTGGGTTTGAATCCCGGGTGGGACTCAAACCAGAAAGTACTAGAATCTGTACTTTACCAAGAAAGTGTTCTCCCAGATATGACATTTGTTAGAAACATAATTGATAGAATGGATAGATACCTCACAAGGACAGATGAATCTCTATCTTTGATGGTCATTTAGTTTTGGGGGGAACATCCTGGGATTTATATAGACCTGCTCAGAGGCTGATATTCAGCCAGAAGTCTGCAGCAAATGTTAATAAAAATTCCCAAATTGAACTGAACATTTCCCAACTCATGTTACATTGTACTAATATATAAAATTAATAGCTATTTTATGGCTTTGTAGAAGTAACCTGTATTCATTTATAACAAGACCAATAAATGGGAACAGGTTTTTATGCTGTGTTTTATTTTTTTGCATTATCCCAAATATGACATTTGTCACTCACTGAATCATCCTCTTTTCAGGCAGGGTTCCCCAGCATCCAATGTGGTGAAGCTGGAGACCAACTCACCCTCCCACACCCGCAGAGAGAGGACCCCCCCTGGTCCTGCCATCGACTACTTCGACTTCTCCGTCAGCTGATCAGCATCCCACCCTGTCAAAGGGAGACAATCTTGATGTGTGTTAATTTCAAAGTTATTGATTCAACATGGTGATACTTAAGGTTGACGGAATCCTAGAATTAACATTTACTCTGATGCACAAAGATACAATGACACATATTCAGAGTTTTACTCTGCAAGTTACTGGTGAAATTAGAAAATTTATCAGCATAGATTTGTGAAAGGCCATTATTTTTGTAATTGTTGCATATTAGATTTTTTCTGCCCGAGTCTGATCTCAGAGGGTTTAAATCAAGAAGCTTTCATATTTATAGACTCTGCGATTGTGCAGAATTTCGGCTTTTCTCGGAAGACGCTGGGTGTTAGTTGCAGGAGTCAGTGTATCAAGGGACAGAACTCTGGATTTCTGCTGAATGGAATTAACAATGACTGACTGATTTGGTAAAATTTGAATGTCAAATTAAACACTGGAGTTAATGAATTTTTGTGGCATTGATGGGTTTTCAACAAACAAAATGTAATTTTGTAATAATGTTTTTCTCCTTTTTGTTTGTTTGTAATAGAGTCAGGACCAAACCTACACAATAATGGCCTTACTTGTAAATTGACTTTAACCAAAGGTCCAGTGATGCCCTGTGTCCAAGCTTTGCTGAAGGACCTGACTCCGCAACACAAAGCTAATTTGTGATCATGGTTCATACTAACATGACTAAGGAACAGACCATGTAGTATTCAGGAGGGAGGTCAGGGAGACCTGAGATTTCTTTTAGAGACAGAATATTTTATTCTGTCATTGCTTCAAGACAAACATTTCTTTTCTCTGAACAACACTTTCTTTAAATCCAGCATTTTCATTTCTTTACAGCAATTTATGGAACAGATTATTATAACACCCTCCCCCCTGCATATGAAATGGTTGGTCCAAGGGAACGGATAAAGAGCTTAGTGTGCAAACTGGTCCATTGGCTGGGGTGATAATGTAGTGCTTTGAACATGCTTCAGGGGATGGATTTGGAGCATCATATATATATATATATACAGGTTATTATTAATATTATTATCATCATGGACCGAAGCAAGGGAATTTGTTTTTAATACTGCTGGTCCATGGTAGACACAGAGAGAAATGCTATCGAATATTCCAGAAAGTCCACACCACATGGAATACTGGGATAATTATGTTAGGGATCATTTCTGATTGACTGTCGTGATGGTCTTTGTGATAAATGACTTTTTTTATTGTTATTTGTGTGTAAAGAATGTATTTTGAGATAAACAGATTTTCCCAGTGATAATGTTTCGAGAAGATATTACATATGTAAGATAGTTGGCATTGACAGTGCTTATGTTTCATTTTGAGTTGTGGCTGAAAGAATATTCTTGGTTCTCGTACATTGATGTCCTTGCTTTAAAGCAGCTTAATTTGGTTCTACACGCCTAGACACGGCCATGTAGCAACATTTGGTGCAGCCTGTCTGCATCAAAGGCAATAAGTGTCGGGGCAAGTTGAAACTTGGTATGTTTCCTACCCTGGATTGCACAGTTTATCAAACTAGGCCTTTATTTTTTTATAGTTAGTTTACATAAACAACTAATCTGTCATGCAGACCTTGAAACAGATATACCCAATACAGCCCATGCAAGTCTGTTATAGTTGGCAAGTCTAGATTACTGCAGTCTGAAAAGGAAGCAAGTCTCGGGGCTCCTTTTGATTACGTTTTATTTAGATAATTTAAGAGTGTATTTTTTTTTCTGTAAATGCTTTCATTTCAGTGACTGGATGTTCGTTTAAAAATGACAAACAATAACTTAAATAACTAAAAAAATGACTTTGGGAGAAGATTCTAAGTATGACTCATGTCACGAATAAGAGCATCATTATTTTGTTCAACGTTGGGATTTTGTTAATGTTCTTATTTTCCTAAATTCTGAGGTATTTTGACATTGCTTACAGTGCAGTAATGTATAACTATGCTTCAAAGCCACTTTCTCTTGATTGGTCCTGTTATCATTGAAACATAAGTTACATCTGCAAAGTCATAACATGATTTGGGAATTTTGACTAACATTGACTGGAGACTTGGGTCTGAATATCGGCCTGTGGGCAGGTGTGAATGACCCCTGAGTATCTCCTGAGACTACTGGGAAGTCGGCCATGAACCCTCATTAACACAGGTTACCGGGGTTAATGTTCTCAACTTTTGCATCTAATTTATTGGTGTTTACGAGGATGGCAGGTGCTGAACATAGTGTCCAACCACCGACATCCTCTTTGAACTTGGTTTTCATTCATTAATAATCAATTATTTTGGGAGTTTAATTTTATCGATATATTTTTTTCACCCACCTGCATTGTATGTTTTGTAAAGATTTTGTTAACTAACTAATAAAAGGCCTAACGGAAAGTCCTTGCCAGGCATGGTGTTGGTTTATTGTGTTAGCCTCTGACAAGGCTTTTCTGTTTTCCTGGAGGGTCTAGCCTTGCTGTGAGATACATGAAGTACCTTTCAGTGATGAAGATAAATATCAGTGAAAATTTAAACGTTTATGTTGAACTTTCGATGTACCACGTTCACGTATAGATAAAAGGCCATGAGCAAATAATGACTTATTCATGACGTTTTCATCCCTCTTTGTGTGGTGGGCTAGCCATGTGGTTAAGGCTGTGGTTTAGCATGTCTTAGACTTGGGTTTAATTCCCGACGTGAGTACGTCTGAGAACCATTCTGGTTAGGTCCAGTGGTATTGCAGGAATGGTGCTGAAAGCAGCGTGAGACCACGCTGTCATCTCATTGGAAAATTAAGCCTGGTAGACCCGTGAAGATCTTTCCATATAACTAGAATACTGTTCAAACCGGCCCTATCCGTGAAGCTCTGGGGTAGAATAGGTCTTCAGCAGCCCATGCTTGCCGTAAAAGGCGACTATGCTTGTCGTAAGAGGCGACTAACGGGATCGGGTGGTCAGGCTCGCTGAGCCCAATCAATGTTAACTTAAAAGTAGTGTGCTCCTTATATCTTTGTTGAAAAATATGATTTGTTGCCAACCATATCAACTGGAAACATCAGGTATAAATAATTCATATCATCTTCCTTGTTGGCAGTAGATTCGAGATGAGAGGGTGTTGTACATTCTGAAGCAGATTGATGTGATGGCATACTTATGAAACCTATACCTACGCGAGACCCATGAAGATCCGGGGTAGAATAGGTCTTCAGCAACCTATGCTTGCTGTAAAAGGCGACTATGCTTGTCGTAAGAGGCGACAAACGGGATTGGGTGGTCAGACTCGCTGACTTGGTTGATGCATGTCATCGTATGCCAAATGCGTGGATCGATGCTCATGATGTCAATCTATGGATTGTCAGGTCCAGACTCGATTATTTACAGACCGCCACTCACCTTTTCAAGAAGAGGAACAAAGTCGGAGTTTCGCACATATTAAGGAAAGCAGCTCGAAGTCAACACTTCGGTTATGTAATGATCATGCGGAACTAAAGGGCTAAAACAAGGACTGGTCAGCTCTGAGACAGTATGCTGTACAAGCGGCCACACAATAATAATCTTGAACGCAACGTCAAACCGTATTTCACCCCACCTAATAATCTTATGAATAAAATGTTGCCATTTTCTGAGCACAACGCAAGTGGGTGACAGCGGTGCTTCCATATTGATACTACAACCTTTGAAACTGTCTTTTTAATGTTTACAATTTGCAGAGACGCTATGTTTGTAGTGAGTCTATTGTAAAAGAAATATTGAAGAGTAACGTCGGCAAATACAAGTCAGAGATGCAATTTATATTGACACTGGACGTTTTAGTGGACCCGTTTCTCCACTTGATACTCGTTTGTGCCTATTTTGTGAAAACACTGACTGTTTAGAGGGCGAATTACATTTCTTTATAGACTGCCACATAAATCAGGATATAAGACATGAACTCTTTTTTAAAGTATATTTTGCCTTTAAATTTTGCAAATCTCTCTTCCGCAGAAAAACGTATTGTATTGATGCAGTGTATCCTATGATTCTGTTTATATTCCCTCCAAAGAGAAACGCACGGGTGATAAAATATTTACATTCTTCGTCTTTTCTGAATATTTCTGAACCGAAGAAAATATATATCTATAAATGTCAAACTGCACGTGATGAAAGTCACAGTGTCTGTTGTCAAATCTGACTAACATAAATGTCACACAAACGTTTAAATGCTCTCAATCATCAATCACTCTAACCACCAACACCAATATGCTTGTCGTACGAGACCACTGAATGGGTCGGTTGTTAATGAGTTCGTGGTTTTTTGTCATGGTTGAATGGTGAACAGAAGGATGACAAATCATTCAGAAACATTCGCGCGAACGCACCACTTGTTAAAGCGTGGTGTTCTGGACAGCACGTGGCGCACGGGCTGCATGCGCAAATGTGTGTGGCGGGGAACTCTGTCCCTAGCCTTGTCACTTGTACAGTCATGCTTGGTAGAGAGCAGCCATGTTGCCGGTGGCTGCCTCTGACAGTGTCAAATCAGGGCACAATGGTCGTATTTGTAAAGTCAAATGAGGTCTTTAATAAAACCAAATAAGGGTTTTTTCATAGTCAAATAAGGACTGAAACATAGTCAAATAAGGACTGAAACATTGTCAAATAAGGACAAATCGTGGTAAATAGTTATTTCAGAAATTGTTTCTGAAATCGTGGGTTAATTCAAATATGGTGTAAATTTGAGTTTTAATTATTAAACAGTCATTAACTTTAAGTTTTGTTGAGTTATTTTTTAAGACTTCCACTGCGTATCAAATGGAGATAAACATACATAAATTCAACCTAATGTAGAGCTAGGTTACCTGAAGATTTAAGCGCGCTAAGTTAATCACTGAAACATCACTGCGCGTTCGGTTCCAAATTTAATTTAGCGGAGTTAAATCTACAGGTAACCTAGTTCTACATTGAAAACACAGCATGTTTATCTCCTGATTCAGACATTATAAAGCAGAAAGAGAGTCAGCAGGTGAAGTCGTAAAGGTTTTTTAGATAAAAGAACGAAGGCCTGGTTCTATTGGCCACCTGTCTATTCTCATCCATTCTATTTACCGGGTCAAGTGATATTCACTAAAGTGCAGACAGTATTTAATGGACAACACGTGGTAAGTGACAACTCACACCTCTCAGGCTGATCATATGTCCTCATATTGTTGTAGTAGTATGTAATTATGTATATATCATCAAGTGTATTTTAAGGTCACCTCTTATTTTAATACCTAAGTTTTAGTCTACACTCCAATCTAACCTGCTTCACTAATACAATAGCACAGTCACCCTTGCGCTTGCCTTCTCTATTGTTTCTCTGGTTTCTATTGTTTAGCCCCAGCCCCTTACTTTCAGTGACAGGGTGCATTATGGGACTGGTCAGTTTAAATTCACACTTGTAGTTGATTATGTATGGAGTAGTCGGTTCATCGCTGATATAATTGAGACAATTGTCACAGGTGTGTCCCTGTAAAGCAAATATCTGATGTTGTGACATCATAGGGCACAGTGCCATACACCTGGGCCGTTTTATTTTGTATTAAAACAACTGGCATCAACAAATCAACCTGCGTTTGGTGATTCATTCACATAAACCACTCCGGTTACATTGGCGTCGTCGGCAGGATGTAACAGTTGTTGCAGTAAGGCACCCAGTGACAAGTGACAACGATGGACACTAGCTGTCCATGGATGAACGCGACAGAGATCTGTGTGCTCCAGGACCCGTGATGTGAAATTAATGTAACTACATAATGTATCAGTTACTTTGTGCCATCATCTTTTCTTGAGCTTGCCTCTCAGTGTATAGACAGCGATAAACTTGTATTGTGCAAGAGCTTGATTGACACTTTCGTTCCATTGTATTGTGCTTTCTGTGATTGACAGTTATTCATGTGAAGAGAAGAGGATACCACTGCTGTGATCATGTATAACAGACATTTGTCTTTCCTGTATGTTTATATATAACTGTCTAATGGGTTGTCTGTTGTATATTTGACATTTACATAAAATATTTACTGCATAGATTTGTACAGTGCACTTGGTAGTCTTAATCATACCGGCCGGTCATTAGTTAGTTACCACATTAGTTAGTTAGATCATTAGTTTGTTATAACATTACTTAGTTAGATCATTAGTTAATTATTCCTTTAGTTGCTATACAGAGTTGTGTCCCTTGGGCACACAAGAAACCTATGATTATGGGTTCGAATCTCGGTTTGCCCCACTTGTGTTTCTAGATTTGGCAGCACCATACCAGTGCTGAGGGTTTAACCAGCGTAGGTGTCTAAGATCTGCCTCACTTCGGGATTTTCTCCCACTTTGAGCTGACATGCCGTGATATGACTGGAATATTGTTCAATGCGGCGTTAAACCCTCACTTACTCACTCATTTAGTTAGTTAATTAGTCTACAGATTTTTTAATTTTATGGTTAATTTGTTAGTTTCTTAGTTCAGTAGTTATTTAATTAGTGTTATTAGTTTAACTTGTATCATATTAGTACCCTTTATAAAGTTATGTAATATATCTGTGTTTGTGTGAAAGAAGTATGACTGTTTAGCACTTACATATTACTCAAACACTATTATAAGCAATAAAATCATAACATAATTTAATAATAAAACATTTAAATCAGTTTAGATATAATAGATAGGTCATAATTGTGTTTGGTTACATTCAGTTGGTCATAGAGTTTATTGATGTTGTCTTGGTAAAGTTGTACGTGTTGGGACTCTGTCTCCATACATCTTATTTTTTTCTTCTTCTTTTTTTTCTTTGTGTTTGCAGCGGTCGCACAGCTTACACTTGCACACCATTACTAACGTTTGCACTTGTCAATATACAAGTATTTTATATCTTGTGTTCTATTCAAAACAACATTGTTTAGTTAGAAGTTAGAATATACATATGCAGTTGCTATGTTGGAGATCCAGCCCAATCACTTTACTTCTCTGCTACTAGTGTCATAGATATATTTTTATTTATTTTTTGGCGCTAGTTGTTAATACTATACACAGGCATGTCTGATCAAATGTCAGAAGAGGAAATTTCGCAACTTGTTGCAACATTTCAGCAGCTAAAGGTCAATCCTAAGGCTGACTCACCAGAAACCTTGTTAAAGTGGATGTCTGAGTTTTCAACTGGCTCTGTGAAAACAGAAGATGTTTCCCATGCCTTTGGAACTCAGCATCCTAGTCACCCATCTGCAGCTCAGGTGTTTACCGTATCTCACCCTCCAAGTTTACCTTGCTTCTCGGGAGATGAAGGTAAAAGTAATGTGTCATATGACTTGTGGAGATACGAAGTGGATTGCATATTGAAGGACAAAGCACATTCAGGGGCGACAATTGAACATTCCATCAGGAAATCTTTGAGAGGGGAGGCCGCCAGA